CACACACACACACACACACACACACACACACACACATTTTTCTTTGTATATTACTCTCTAGTAACACTTTTAATCTTTGGCAATTCTATGACATGTTTGTATTTCACGTGCCGTGGAACTCTTACTAAAACTAAACTAAAAGCTCTCTTAGCACTAAACGAACAACAGTTATAGCATCAGTGTACTGTTCTTTACTCAAACAAACTTTTTCACAAAAGACATGTTGGTGGTTGGTGGGTGCTCTGGTGTGGTTTGCTCCTTCTTTCCCATCAAACATCCATCGTCCTTTTTTCCCCTCCTTCTATTTTGTTTTTGCTACTCTCTTGTAAGATCTCCAATCTTCGGCACTTATATGACCTTATTGTGTTGGAAGTGCCGTAAAACTCCAACAAAAGCTAAAACTTCTCCTCAAAACGCATCATTTAATCATTTGTTTGTTTGGTCTCCAGGTACCACCGCCATCCGGTCAGTGTTGCAGAAAGATGACCACATCTTCGCCATCCACGTGTTGAATCCTCGTGAAGACATGGGCCTCCCGGAAGACTACGAGAATGAGCTTCAGCAAATGGAAGAAACCAAGGGCGCGGACAGAGCGGAACTCTCCACTGCAGACAAATCGGAAACCGAAAAGTCTGAGAAAGGTGCGCCTTTTCCTTCCTATACCATATTCTTATACGTTATGTGTGGATTCTTATTAAACAGTGTTAAATTTAATCGGGACTTTCCTTTTTTTTTCAGTTTGTGTCAGAGTTTCTATGTAAGGTTTCTTATGGAATTGGTGAAATTTAATCAGGATTTTCTCATTTCCTTCTCATTTACATTAGCATTTTTATTTGAGGATTTATATCAGACTATCTGAAATTAAAACAGAACTTATCATTTTGTTCTCCTTTTCACTTGCAATGCTTGAGCTTGACAGATATGTTTTCCGTTTTAGCAAAATTATGAAAACTAGAATTCTAATATGAGCATTCTTATCAAGGGATGTGATATGCAATCCTGACGTTCTTATTTCTTTCCACTTTACAGGGGAATTCGTATATGAGGATTCTTATCAAAACGTATAAAATTTATTGAAAACTTTCTTTTTTCTTTCCATTTTTCTCCAGCAATGGTTTTTCTAAAATTATATGTTCTCCATTTATGCAAACTAGATAATACCAGAATTTTTATGTAAGGATTGTTATTAAAATTTAATTCTTTTAATACTCAGTATATTAGGATTTTTCATAAAGAGTGTAAGATTTAATCAGGACTTCTTATCTGAACTTCTCATCAAATTGTGTGGAATTAAATCTTGAACATTCTTATTTTATTCTATTTTATACCAAAATCTCAAATGAGGATTGTTACCAAAGTGTGTGAAATTTCATCAGGACGTTTCTGTTTCTTTCCACTTTTCATCAGAGGAGACTGAGAAAGACGATGGCAGTGAGAAGGAGAAGGCAAGCGAGGAAACGGAGCCAGAGGTTCGAGTCCGTCGGCCAGCAGTCAGCCAGTTTGGCTCCGTCACTGCTCAGCTCTCCGACGGAATGGTGCTGGCTCTCAGTCAGTTTGGATCCTCTGGAGAATCTTACTGTAAGGATTATTGTAATGATGATATTATAATTGGTCGCTTTTAAGCACAAGGGGACTATCCCGAAAAATGCGATTTTGAGAAAATCGAAGGTAAAGTTTTTGCCCCTCGTTCAGTTAAGAAACAGGGAGAGTTTTCTCTATAACCAAACAAATATATACACAAAGGAACCAAACTTCTCCTATAGGTAGGGCAATTCCCACTTTTAGTATAGGTCAAGATTTCTAAAAAAAAACAAAACCTGGGTAAACCTGCTTGCCCTTAAAAGCGACCCATTTTAATTATTAATGTTTTGCGCCCCCACCAATGTATTATAGATTGATTCAGGGAGGGGGGCTGTTTTGACCTCACCTGTCAGGGCCAGCCAGTATTGAGGGGGATACAACATCCCAGGAGACAGATGGAGGTACTTTATAGAAAGCCTTTCTTTATAATGTACATTAAAAGCAAAGGTGGCATAATTTTATGAATTTGTTGCTCACAAGGAGTTACTATAGTTACCAAAGAGAAACAGGATGTTGTTGATGATATTACCCGGTAACTGTGTAACTGAAAGAAATGACTCAACTTTTTTTCTGATCTAAAACTGTTGCCAATATCTTTCTTTGGGTCCTCTATGAAAATTTTTCCACAGGACACTGATACACATCCATTCGAACATTTATTTAACTATGAAATAAGCCCTTTTGAAAGTTATATCAAGCAGGGAATGTTTTTTTTTTCTTGCTGATTGACATTTTTTCAAGAAATTATACACCACTGGAGTGTTAGACCCTGAATTTTATGTCTTTTGCTTGGATTTCTACAGTGAAGCCGTATGAGCCTGCTCTGTACGTACCACCCGCGACCACAGAGACACCGTCTCTCCCCCAGCCCACGGCCAGCTCACCGTCCAAGGGCAAAAAAGATGCAGGGAAAAAGGGAGTGCCTACTCCTGAGCCTGAAAAACTACCCGTGAGTTCACTTTCTTTTTTTTTTTATCTCCGTCTTTCCCTGTTACCCCTTTATCTGTTCACATTTTTGTTTTCCTCGTCTCTTTTTATTGATATATCTTTCTTTACCTTCCCCCCCCCCTCCTCTCTCTCTCTCTCTCTCTCTCTCTCTCTCTCTCTCTCTCTCTCTCTCTCTCTCTCTCTCTCTCTCTCTCTCTCTCTCTCTCTCTCTCTCTCTCTCCCTCCCGCCTTCCCTCCTTCCCTCCCTCCCTCCCTCCCTCTCTCTCTCTCTCTCTCTCTCAGTCTCTCAAATCAGTATTCTAGGTCACATGCACACACTCTCATGTACTTTCCATTTAGAAATATTTTCTGTTCTTTTTATCTCATTTCCTTCTTGACCATTTATCTCCCTCAGATCTCCCTATATCTGTCTCTCTCTCTCAATCGCTCCCTTCCCGCCCCCTGCTTCTAAAAGTTTATAAACGCGATCAGAAATCTCGTACCTACTTTGTCCCACATTCAACCAGAACAAAACGACTGTTCGGTGTCTGGGTTTCAAATTTAGCTTCTTGCATGGGTTTTTTTTTCATTTGTTTTGCTGTCTTGCCATTCATCAGCACTGAATGACCCCACCATATGCAGACATGCTACTATTTACTCAAAGCTTAACACTTTGCAGTCACACAGCCAGTAGTACAAAATACCCCACCCTGGTCACCCAGCTAGGAGAGTGACTGCAGTGGACTTCTCGGTCCTACTGCTTCAAGTGACCAGAACGGATAATTTTCACCATTGCATTCTTGCGACAAGTGACCGCAAAGTGATAAATCTGTCATCTTTTCTTTCTTTTAGACTGATGAGGAACCAGTGGAGGAGGAGAAGAAAGATGAAGAGAAGCCGATCCCAAAACAAGAATTCCAGGAGCTCTTTGTCACTTGTCCTGATGGTCTGGCTATCAAGTACTTCCTGCAGAGTTCTGTTGGTAAGGTGTTCAAGAGTAGCAAAGTTAGGTTATTTTTGTTAAAAGTGTCCATCCTGTGCTTTTGGTACCATTATAAGTATGTTGGTATGGTCGTAAAAAGTAGAGATTTTTTTTTTGGATTTCAGTTGCCAAGTGTTATGACTGAGTTTTGAAAAGTGTGCACCATAATGTTAGTTATATCAAATGTTACTATGATTAGAGAAAATGAATATTTTTCAAAATTTGACAGAACTTATGCATGTGGTTCTTTGCTCCTGATGAGAATTTTTGTTGAGTGTGCCTACTTTTGGTATCATTGTCAAAACTTAGGTTGTTTTTTTAAAGTGTGTCTGAATTTTTGTTTTCAAAGCTTTTATATATGGTTGTATGCTCCTTACAAGAGTTTTTGTTCTCAACTTGTTATTTCGTTCTTGGTGTGGAAAGGTCATAAAAGATTTAAGTGTAATAAGGTAAAAGAATTAGGAGGGAAGAGGTTGAATCAATGAAACTGATCATCCTGTGGTGAACTACATAAATAAAACATTGCCCTGTAATGTAATTGGAAAGAAAACTTCACTCCTTTTCTGTGTTCTATAAGGGTGAACAAATTTCAAAAGTTTATTTCATCCCAGAGTTTACAGATTTTAAAGTATTAACAGTCTAGCTGGGATGTTGTACCCCACTCAGCCCAGGTTGGCCCCAACAGGTAGGGTTAAAGCAGACTGCCTCTGAAGTCATCTAAATTATGTCAATGGGGCTGTAAAACATTTACAAATTCAATTACAGGTGAACTTATTATTCTCCACATTTTTCCAGGTGTGGTGCCGGCTTCTAGCGAAGAGCGACAGCTGGCAGTGAGACAGAGTTATCCTTTCAAGACCAAAGGTGTGCAGGAATGTGAATCGGCGCGGCGCAAGTACGTCCAGACAGAAGTGTCGCGGGTCATTACGGCCGACGGAACGGTTGTGAAGAACATGATTGACGGCTCTGTGGAGGTAGGCTTCCTTGCTTTTTGTTTCTTTGTTTTGATGTTGTTGTTGTAGTTATTATGGATCCAGCAACAAATTTGTTTCGAGAAAAAATTATGTGATTGGGCAAGATTTTCGAAGTAAATAATTTTGTTTCAATGCAGGTGTTTTCCTAGGCTCAGGATGCTAAGATTTGGGTTAAATAAGCTTCAGGAACCCAGAGCTCAAAGGGTTAATATCTCCATCTGTTTGCTGGGATGTTGATCCCATTAGCTCTGGAAAGTAGGTAGGGTCAAAACAACCAGTTTGATCTAACTTGTGTCAAAGTGGGCATAAAAATGCAGCCTGACTTGAAAAACTGATCTACATTGTGTTGGTGGAGGTATAAAGAAATACAATAACGCGTACAATCTGTCGCAGGTTCTGAGTGCTGATGGAACGGTCAGTGTGTTTACTGGTCAGTGGCAACTACCGTCAAGCCGGGCCAGCTCCCCAGCTCGCAGTGTTAAGAGTGGAGTGGACCAGGGCCGAGATACTCCCACCAAAAAAGGTACAGTAGTTTCTGGGTGGGTTTTTTTCAGAGTTTGTGAAATGAAAAAAAAAAAAAGCCCAACGTAAATGACATGGTATTGAAAGAAGCTAAAGTCATCTGAGCCTTTGGTTTGGTTCAGACAAGACTTAATAACTGCTGGTAAAGCCTGTTTGATTCAGCACTTTACTGTTTTTTCTTCGTCAGTTTTGTTTAATTAGCTGCTAACTTTTTCTCTTTCCACAATTTTTTTTTATCCATGTTCTTTGGACACACTATGCTGTCGATCGGGAAATATAGGATATTTTTCTATCAGTTTTGTTTGACCAGTGTCTTTGTTTAGTCCAAGTTCTTTGTTTGAATTCATGTTCTTTGAATCCATGCCCTCTGTTCACATCCATGTTCTTTGTTCACATCCATGTTCTTTGTTCACATCCATGCCCTTTGTTCACATCCGTGTTCTTTGTTTGAAATCCATGCTCTTTGTTCACATCCGTGTTCTTTGCTTACATCAATATGTTTCATTTAAATTGAATCCATGTTCCTTCTCCAAAACACAGGTCGATTGTCGGGAAATAAAGGGGGCTCCCGCAAGCCTGCCCAGGCTGAGCCAGAGCTGGAGGAAGAGCTGAAGCTGACGAGCTCCGTGGGAAACTGGGTCATCACCTACCCTAGTGGGGAGAGGCTGCAGGTTACCAAGGAAACGGGAGACTGCGTGGAGCTCGCTTCAGTCCCGATATGTATAGCCACCGACCCAGACTCACAGCAGGTGCGTCGGGTGTTTGTAACCCTCTTTGAGGTGTGGGTCTGATCTTCTCTGAGATCGCTGGGTGCAGTAATCTATGATTTTAAAATGTTCGAGCTAGGTGTTTCAGATCAAAGAACTTCTCCACTTTAGCAGTGAGCACTTATTGGGAAAGTTCCTTTGGTTATTGGTTTTCTAGTTCACATTGTATTGTCACCCAAAAATGATACTGTCGTGTCCAAAATTTCTAAACTTTTTTTTTTTTCTTGAACTCTCTTGCAATTTTATCACAAATGCTGTATAGTTTCTACCAGTGTTGGCCTAGTTGAAAAAGAATTGTTTAACCCTTTTGCATCAATCTGAGCTCTTTATTCTGAAAATCGCACTGATGTTAAAATGTGAAAAATGTAAAAAAATCTTTATTTTGACCCATATCCTTTCTGGGCAATTCTGTATATGGAAGTGGGCTGACAAAATGAGTTACTTCTCAGATTCGAACCCTATTGAAATAGATGCAGCATGCTTATGGGTGAAGTTTTTACAATTTATAAGTGTGAAATAATGAAAAGCATGTTAGACTTAAAGAATATGGCATAAATAGAAAATCTACTAATGTGACCCTAGTTTAGATTTTTGGCCACTCTCTCCTTTTGTGGAATGTGAGAAGTAACTCATTTGGTCAGCACGCCTCACATATATATATATATATATATATATATATATATATATATATATATATATATATATATATATGTGTGTGTGTGTGTGTGTGTGTGTATGTAATACAAATCTTGTCATTTTTCCCCATATACCAGACGATGGCGACCCGTGACGATCATGTGATCACTGTCAGCTACCCTGACGGCACCACGGTGGTGGAGCATGCGGACGGCACCCGCATCACCGTGTACTACCGAGAGTCCACCATTGCCAGCTCGGAGAATGATGGTGAGTGAACAATGATAGTAATAACAATAGTAATAATAATTGTAATAATAATGATAATAATAGAAATAATAATAGTAATAATAATAATAGAAATAATAGTAATAATAATAATAATAATAATAATAATAAAATAATAATGATAATAATAATAATAGAAATAATATTAATAGTAATAATAATAACAATAATAGTAATAATAATAATAATGATAATAGTAATGATAATAATAATGATAATAGTAATGATAATAATAATAATAATAATAATAATAATAGATTACATCTATATAGCACCCTATACCATGCGCGTATAAGCTCTGAGTGCTTTACCTCAATCGCCTGATCACTGAAAAGTAATAATTCTTTAACTCAGGAAGAAATATTTCTCAGTAACAAGAAAAAACCAGTTCAACCACTTAAAGAAAAACCATCACAACCATACATTAATTATATTTACACCTAAGGAAAGCTTTAAAAACAAAACATATCAGCTCTTATTGACATAGCGCAACTAAGAATTAAACAAATTGTGTTGCCTTGCTCTGACACTGTGTCTATAAGGCTCTGGACATTCGATTTTAAAATATTTTTCTTATTGAAATAATAATTATGCAGATGATTTCCATAGCGCCAACTCCCATACAATACAGCTCTGCGGGTTGTTGGTTGGTGCTCTGGTGTATGGTCCCGATCTCTCCTCCCTTTTTTTGTGTTTGTTACCCTCTTGTAACACTTCTAATCTTAGGCACTTGTTATGACCTTATCGTGTTGAAAGTGCCGTAAAACTCTTACTGCAACTAAAGTACACCTCTAGCTGCTTTACAATACCTTAATACAACACAGAACACAAGTGAATGAGCATGCATTTTATTGCCATGTGTTTACATATATAGACTGCACCATTGTAGAATTGCTCAAGTCATTCCCCGGGGGTTTCCAGACACTGCAGTTATTCAAATAAGAACATCAAGATCAAGGGGAACATTTTACAAAATGTGTCACGACGCGGTGGAATCAGGCGCTCATCAATATTTTGGGCATGTGCAGTTATTGGCATCATCTAAAGGCTTGTTCACTTGTCTACCTTTTAAAGAAAAAATACTCATTTATTGACTTGAAATAAAATGTGAGATTTTTTTTATTGAAGGAGGAGGAGGTCACCTGGTTTGAGCGATAAAGTTAGCAAGAAAATGGCGAGCAAAGTTTAGAGACATCCAAAGCTTGAGAGTCCTAGGATACTTAAATTTTACATTTCGTTTGTCTTTAATCAACGTTTTTAGTAACATCCACGCAGTAATATGTTTTTAAATGGACGTAAAAGGTGTTGGTCCATAAAACAAAAATTCAATAAAAATTGCCAAAGTAGCTGAAAAATGCCGGTTTCTTTGATTTAATTATTTTGACGAGTGCTTGATTTACCACGATGCCTCACACATGACGCGTGCATTGTAGTTTCATTCTGTTTCCCTTATTTCCTTTCTAATTTTTTAACTGGAAATAACGAGTGGCAAGTAATGCTCATCATTTGGATGCTCTTTTTTCTTCTAAATTTTCTCGAAGGATAATAGGACATACTTTACTGTTAGCGTAATTTACTGTATGTTTTTTTTCAATAGAGACTCCCACTGATATGAACATGCAGACCCTCAAGTTTGTCAAAGTGGAGTGCCCGGCTTTTGCCACTGTGGAGTTCAACACGGCGACGTCGGAGAACCTAACAGTGTTTGGCAGTGGTACCAGCATCAATGTCTTCCCCGACGGCTATTATATCCTGCATCACAGTTCAGGCGGAAGGGTGGAGGTGAGTCGTAGCTCTGTCTCCCTCTCACTATCTCTCACTTTTTCTCTCTCTCTCTCTCTCTTTCTATTTTTCTTGCTGTCTCTCTCTCTCTCTTTCTCTCTCTCTCTCTCTCTTTCTCTTTCTCTCTTTCTCTCTCTCTCTCTCTCTCTCTCTCTCTCTTTCTCTCTCTCTTTCTCTCTCTCTCTTTCTTGTTCTCTCTCTCTCTCTCTTTCTCACTGTATCTCATACCCACACAAACAAATACACACGCACTCACACTCAAACACTCACACACACACACACACACACACACACAGCGCGCGCATGCGCACACATGCACCTGCACACACACACATGCAATATATACATGCTGAGACATACACACACACGTACACACATGCACACACTACAAACAAACAAACAAACACATGCTCGTGCACGTACCCTAGGCCTATATTCTTGTACCTCACACACCCTGTCCCTCTCAGGTGGACACGGAAGGTACGATGGTCTACTTCCCTCGAAGAAGCCGCTTCCTGGAACATTTGATGCCGGAGAGAGAGCTGCAGTACGTCTTGCGGCACAATGCTGATGTCATTATGGAGACGGTGGATCCGGATGGAAACGTTTTCAACGTACGCTCTACCGGAGACTTCAATGTCATTCCCGTGCAAGGCGACGAAGCTCTCTCTGACGACAGCGATGAACTGAACAATGGCAAGGTGAAAGATAACTTCTCTTTTTTTCAGTTCAGTCTTGAAAAGCTATTGATTTTAGATTATTGTTTGATTGTCTTCCTTTTCAATGTGTTTTATTTTATTATTTACTTTTTCATTTGTTTTTCTGTTGAATTTCCATTTCAAAGTCTTCATGTATATTTGGTTTTTGTTAAAGTTTAGCTATACATATTAATTATGAGTTCTTATTCTGAACGTGCCATTGACACTGTAAAGTGTTTAATTCTGATTATGAAATGTTTTGTATTTTTGGACTTTCCAAATTTGTAATAATTTGGTTGCCTTCCTTTTTTATGTGTGTGTGTGTGGTGGGGGGGGGGAGGGGGGGAGGGGGGTGGTTGGGTGTTTTTTTTGGTAGTGTTCATTCTATAAGCAATAACGGCTGAAAGTGAATATGAACAGTTTTCACAAATATATCTAAATTTTCACCACAACAGAGCTTGAGTAGTTATACATTTTGTTTAATTGTTTTTTAAAAAGATATATTATATTGCTCAGAACTTTAATAGTGATACATTTTATTTTTGTTTTCCTTTGAAAGGAGAAAAAAATTTCTCAGTACGGCCAGCATGCCCCTCGTTTCTTCATAATCCATGCGGACGGCAGCGGTACCGAACTGTTGCGGTACCAGGATGTCGCCGAGTATTTGATGATGTCCGAACAGAATCCGGCCACCGCTGTCCTCAAAGACTCATTGCCCGAGCATCCGGGTGTGACAGGCATCACCATACTCAAGCCGTACCTGTCTGGTTTGTCGGAGAGGTGGTTCAAGCGCTACGATCAGGAGTCCATTGTTCCTCAGGGCATAAGGTGAGCTTTTTAACTCTAAAGCCCCTGTTACATGCAACGATAAATTGTGTCAGATTTGTCATATGTGAGAACTGTCCATTTTATCGAGCTGTGTAGTCTGTTTAGACGTTCCAATCTATCGTCTAGTTTTCTTTCGATCAGGGAGATTCCTGGTCTTTGACTTGATACACAACTTCACCATTATTGATCAACCAAATTATAAAAATGCTAAAATATACGTAATAACGCATTAAATCAGGTTCCCCGAGAGCAACTTTGCTTATTTTGAGACGCTGATTCCAAATTTAAAGTCAGCTTTTAAGTACGATAATTGTTTTTAAAATTTTGAACCGTAAGTTTAATCCTGCTCGGCGGTAAATTTCAAAGTGATTCTACATCACAGTGCGTCTCCCCCAAATCTGACTGTGATCGCACGAAAAATATCAAGCAGCGCTTGATTTCTCGACCGAGTCTCCAAGCCATCGTCCGATTGTCCAAACTTTGTACAATTTTGTGGTTACACCTGATGATTTGTCTCATGATCAATAGATCGTCCAGTTTTTTTACAATTTATTGTTGTGTGTATATGTAACCGAGGCTTTAGTCCACGTAACAGACACATACGTCCGATCAGCAGCAGACCACCAAAGCCAATAATGCTGCACATTTCAAACCATCATACACAAATCAGAAACACGAATTTGCATATTTCATAACAGGCATATTGTTGCCTGCCTTCTTAAAGTTTCAGATAAAGAAAACAAAAATGAAAAATATGTATGAATATAAGGAAATTTTGATTCTTTTTTTTTAAGTATCCCAAAACAACTCGTCTTCAAACGTTCTAAATGCGCATCCTCAAAGAATTGTACTATACTTATCTGCATGTGGTTCTGTTTATAGGCACAACTCCTCTCTTCCACGACCAGAATTTGTCTCATAGACTGAAGTAGAGGCCTCAAGTCATCTTAATCCTTATTTCTTCTTTTTCGCTGAAGAAATTAAAACAAATATTCTCCTATGCAAATGCATTGGTCATGGTCAGACTCTGACATGACGAAGGAACTAATATTATTATTATTATTGCCATTACTATCTGTCCATTGGGGCAGGGTGGGGATGGGGGGGGGGGCATACAAGACTAGATATATGAGGGAAAGGTTATGGGTTTGATACTTAATGTCTTCTCGAAATGGGATATTATGTATCATGTCAGAATGGTGCTTCGCCCTCTTTGCCTTTTTCACCTTCGCTGTAAAAAGGATCTTTATGCAACTATCAGTGTGGAGTAATAGATTCAAAGCTCTATTTTCTTTTTTAAAAATTGTTATTGTTAATGTTTTGTATCTGCATTGACACAATTGAGATCAGTCAGGAGGCTAACTGCTTTGACTCTGCCTGTGTTTTTTCCTTCTCTCTTTCTCTGTCTATCGCTCATCTCTCTGTCTGTCTGTCTGTCTCTCTCTCTCTCTCTCTCTCTCTCTCTCTCTCTCTCTCTCATCTCATATACTCAAATTCGGGGATGTTAAATCGCGATATCTATCTCCCTCTCCCCCCAAAAAAACGCTGTAACAACACCAAACAACATCAGTTGACCAACCGAACCACCTTCATCTCCTGTCTTCCCTCTCTAGGTGCCGAGACTTGAAGACCTTGCCCCCGCGGGAGTTCAAGAGGCCCGGCCCTCAGTTTGGCACCAACGTGGGCCATGGTCTGAACGTCGGGGCGGCGGGGAAAGGCCCCACTCGCATCCCCATCCTTAAGTGTCCCAACAAACTGGAGCTACGGCAGGTGGTGCAGTACAGGCCCGTCTCCGAGCAGCTCCGAACCAGGTCTGTCTGTCTGTCTGTCTGTGTGTCTGTTTGTCTTTCTGTTCATCTGTCTGTCTGTGTGTCTGTCTGTCTGTGTGTCTGTCTGTCTGTGTGTCTGTTCATCTGTCTGTCTCTGTGTTTGTCTCTGCGTGTTTGTCTGTCTGTCTGTCTGTCTATCTGTCTGTCTGTCTGTCTGTCTATCTGTCTGTCTGTCTGTTTGGAGGGGGGTGCATTGTAGACTATGTTCATAAGTGAAAGGTAGTGAGTTTGATGGTTGACTCTGAAAGTAGGATAGTATTGTTTTTATTTGTATCCTGTAGAAAGGAGATTTGGCCTTTTTCTTCAGTTACATTGTACCATTTCTAGAAAACAAGAACGAATTTCTTCAATTCATTGTTAATATTGGTGTGATGGCATCTTTTAACTGGAGTTCAGCTTTTAGAGGTAGTAAAACGGGGTGGAAGGGAAAATTTATAAAGTATTGTTAGTGTATTTATGCCCCCAGCGGCACAATTTAAATCATTTAGGCAAGGTCAGTATGGGCTTAAAGGGAAACAAGGTCCCATTAAAAAACCAAGGTACTCAATGAAGATTCTCCCCACTCAGGAATTGAACTTGGTCTCCTGTGTGTGATCGCAAAGTGACTGAACGCTACACCTCAGATTTTTGTGGGCAGTTTCTTGTTTCCACAGTTCAGTTTAGTAAGAGTTTTACCACGCTCGCAACTGCATAAGGTCTTATGAGCATTTCCACAGTTTTTGCAGTATCTGGTTTACATTTTTCCTCTATACCAATACTTGTGGTGTTGATGGCCTTGTAGTTAGGCTACCTGACTCGTAATCGGGAGGTTGCTGGTTCGGGGGTTCGAGCCTCAGGCCTGCCGATGTGTCCTTGAGAAAGGCACTTTACTTGAATTTTCCTCTCTTCACCTAGGTGGGAATGGGTACCTGGCCATAAACAGCAAAAGATCTTGTCAGTATGTTAGTGTTTTAGCGCTTATAAATAGCTGCTTGCACTGTATGCTTCCCTGGAAGTTGAGGTTGTTTGAGAATGCTCTCAGGTCTGCTGGGGTAATAGTATAGATTGTGAAGTGCATAGAGCTTGCTGTTGAGAGGGGATTTGCACTATACAAATGCTATCTACTTAATGCGTCAGTTACACTGATTTACCTTTTCTCACAGGCTTCAGACAGGTCTGCGGGAGTACGCGGAGGCGGTCGTGGGTCGCATGCGGGCCGAGACTCTTATGAGTGTCGGAGATCCTCGCTCTGAGGACGAGAAAATCCTGGCGCAGGATCTGAAGAGCTTGGCGGACTCACAAAGAGCGGAGACTCGCGACTGTGAGCCAGGTAAGTGCTTTTCCTAATGTTGACTCTTTGTATACTGAAGGCTACTCCATGTTTGTATTATCGTTTAGCCAATAATTTTTCTACCTCTCGACTTTCCCCATCACTCCACTCTTTTTTTAAAACTATTTTTGTTTTAATAAAAATAAGCATTAAACTGAGTTTCATTATGGATACTATTTCACAAATGAGTGTTTTATGTGTTGTAATGTGAGCCAATGGCCAGCTAGGTAGGCTACTGGGCTGATAGGACTTTGTAAAAATTCTGAGGTAGCGATTTATAAAACCAACCTGAACATAGTCTCACTCTAGATGTGGCTTGCTATCACTGTCCTGACTATGAACGTTGTTTACATTTTCAGACCATGTCAAGTCAGTGTACGAGAAGGCTGTGGCCCCACCCCCTTCCAGCCCACCACCCACACCCCAGGCAAAGAGAACGCTGGCAGACTGGGAGAGAGACAGGAGGGAGCTGGAGGAGGAGAAAAATGCCAAGAACAAACTGGAGCGCAAGAGTATAGAGCCTTACTTTGAGAGTGAGCTGGGCAAGGCTTTCCTGCTCACTCAGGTAATTTTGTGAGAGATACTAGGATCAGGGGGGGGGGAGGGGAGAGAGTGAGGGTGGGGGAGGGGGAAGAGGAGTGAGAGAGAGAGGATGGGGGGAGGGGGAAGAGGGGAGAGAGAGGGTGGGAGAGGGGAGTGGAGGGGAGAGAGGCTGGGGAGGAGGGCAGGGGAGGGGCACCATTGGACTGGAAGATGGAAGTCATTTTGTTTTCATTTCATCTCTTATCGCTTTTTCTTTTTAAGGGTGGCAAATGTTGCTAATTAGTTGAAAGACATGGAGTTGGAAGGTGTCACTGGAAAATCCTGTTTCTTTTCTTTCCCTTTTCTTTTTGTCTGTCCTCCTTGCTTTTTCCCTCCAGTGGATGACTGTTGTTTTTCAAAGTGCTTCTTTTTGTTCAGTCTAAACTATAGATGTAATGGCTGCTCCATTTTCCCTTGTCTCCAATATTTTTGTCATGACGCAGTGGAATCAGGTGTTGTCAATTAATACGGTTTTATAATATATTATTATGAAGGGCCAGGAAAATGCCGGTTTCTTTGATTTAATTTTTTTGATGAGCAACTAATTTCACCACAATGTCTCACATATAAGTTTACCCTTTCCTGTCCACATTACATACAGAGTCCTCTCTGTGCCTCACGTTTTTTTCCTCTCTTTGATCTCGCAGGCCAGTGACATGGACGAGATGATGCGTCAGCTGGCAGAAGAACCTCGCCGCGAGGCTGGGGATGCGCTGAGAGGGGACAGTAACAGTCGTCTGACCTACACTCAGAGTCCTCTCTATGCCCAGAATGTGCCTCCGTGTGAGTGTTATATATGTGAATTAACCCTTTCCTGACCACTAACATACTCACAGATCCCTCTCTACACCCAGAATGTGCCTCCGTCTGAGTGTTACAGTCAACTATGCTTGTATCGATGTCGCTGGGGGGGGGGGGGGGGGGGGGGCAGAAAAAAGATTGCTACATCCGAAGTTCGCAACAGCCGTTGGAAGAAAAATTCAAGAGGAATAATCCCAGTCCTCAACCTCACTGTAGAGTTAATATTGAGTTTCGTCACTTAAATGATAATAATAATAAATAATAAATAGCATTTGTATAGCGCATATCCCCACTCGAAAGCAAGCTCTAAGCTTATCATAAGTTATCAATAGTATCATGTGGAAGATTGCTCGCTAAGTGTCTCATGCCTCGTACTATTGTGTGAATGTGCGTAACGCTACAATACATCATTGGGTTCATCAATGCTAGGTCAAAACTAACCACGAGGAAAACATCGTTAAAACCGTTATATTTTCACTATAAATTATATGGGCTGGGGATAAGAATACGCATCACTACAGCTGCCACGACGGATGTAGTGAATTCGGTGCAACCGTTTCAATTTTATTGAGTTTGTGTTACATCGGCGCTCGTTCTATGGAAAAAGATTGTTACGTCCGAAGATCTTTTCAACCAACTTGGCTACAAGTAGAATTGACTGTATGTGAGTTAACCCTTTCCTAACCACAAACATACACACAGAGTCCTCTCTACGCCCACAATGTGCCTCCTTGTAAGTGTTTGAGTTAACCCTTTCCTGACCATATTACACTACACACAGAGTCCTACCTACGCCCAAAACATGCCTCCATGTAACTCATATGAGTTAACCCTTTCCTGAACACACCACTCGCAGAGTCCACTCTACACCCAAAAATGCCTCAGTGTAAGTGTTTGAGTTAACCCTTTCCTGACCATATTACACAGAGAGTCCTCTCTGTGCCCAGAATGTGCCTCCGTGTGAGTGTTATATATGAGTTAACCCTTTCCTGACCACAAACATTGCACACAGGTCCCTCTCTACACCCAGAACATGCCACCGTATGAGTGATTGAGTTAACCCTTTCCTGACCAGAAACATACACACAGGTCCCTCTCTACACCCAGAACATGCCACCGTATGAGTGATTGAGTTAACCCTTTCCTGACCATATTACACACAGAGTCATCTCTATGCCCACAACGTGCCTCCGTGTAAGTGTTATATATGAGTTAACCCTTTCCTGACCACAAACATACACACAGTTCCCTCTCTACACCCAAAACGTGCCTCTGTGTAAGTGTTTGAGTTAACCCTTTCCCGACCACACTACACACGGAGTCCTCTCTATGCCTAGAATAAGTAGAGCACAGATCCCTTTCAACGCCAAGAACATGTCACCGTATGAGTGTTTGAGTTAACCCTTTCCTGACCATAGTATGCACAGAGTCCTCTCTATGCCCACAATGTGCCTCCTTGTGAGTGTTATAATTAGCTAACTCTTTCCTGTCGATATTACATAAAGAAGTGGGTGGTTGGCATGTGGTCAGGTGTGGTTTGCTCTTTCTTTCCTATCCAACATCTATTGTCCTTATCTCCCCTTCTTTTTTGTGTTTGTTACTCTCTTGTAACACCTCTAATCTTCAGCACTTATATGACCTTATTGTGTTGCAAGTGACGTAAAAACTTACTAATACAAACATACTGAGTCCTCTCTAAGACCAGAACATGCCTCTGTGTAAGTGTCATATGAGTTAACCCTTTTTCTATGTCCAGAATGTTCCGCCATAGGAATGATTATTTCTGTTAACCTTTTCCTAGTCTCATTCTTAACCCTTAACCAAAAACAACTGCCCATTTATTCAACTTACTTCCAGCATTCATATTCTTTGGCTTTTAGTGGGAGACAAATTTGGAAGACCTAAAAGTATATATATATATATATATATGAAGGAGGGACTTGGATAAGGACCTAAAGCAGATGGGATACAGCTGGACAGATGTGGAGACTATAGCCCAAGACAGAAGTACAAGGAGAGTTCTTGTTGGAGGCCGATACACCAGCATGAGATGAGATAGTAGAAGGAAGAAAAGTTTCCCTAACTAGAAATGTGAGGCATCGTAGTGAAACCAGGTGCTTGTTAAAATAATACAATTGAAAGTTCCGGCATTTCTCCAAGTTTGGCCATTTTTGTCAAATTTTTATTTTTTGGCTCAACACCTTTAATCTCCATTTAAAAACACATTTCTGTGTTGGTTATTCTGAAACCAGGTGCTCGTTAAAATAATACAATTGAAAGTACCGGCATTTCTCCAAGTTTGGCCATTTTGGTCAAATTTTTATTTTTTGGCTCAACACCTTTAATTTCCATTTAAAAACACATTTCTGTGTTGGTTATTCTGAAAAAGTTGAATAAAGGCTCAAAAACGGTAACTTTTCAGTTTCCTAGGAATCAGGCTTTGGAAATCACCAAACTTTGGCGGCCATTTTCTTTCTAATTATGCCGCTGAAACCAGGTGACCCTCACCTCCTTCAATTACAAATATCTCAGCTTTTATTCAACTTGCTACCCTTTTCATCAAAAGATGGACAAATGAACAAGCTTTAAGATGATACCAACAACTCAGCTTACCCAGAAATTGATGAGTGCCTGATTCCACTGCGTTGTGACATAAATTTTTTAAAAACCAGATTGCTATTTAACTCTCTAATTCTGGATTGTCTCATCGATGGCATTTTTGGTTTCGCATCTTTGCGGTTCACTTCTTACATGGCATTTTGGGGATACCAATTTTGTCAACCCCAAGATCTACTCTTGGTCCTGTGCTACATTTACTGCCTATTCTCACCCATATTGTGATTCTCTGTCTAACTGCAAATAGTTTAGGTGCTCTCACATAGTGGCGGTGGGTGGACCAAAACTTGGGTGGGGCTTAGGTTGCTTTCTCTTCTGTACCACCAAATAGCAAGCGATAAGAACAAAACAGTGGTGATTTTTCCATACTCATGACGAGCCATGGCATTTTTAGAATCATTCAAACGAGAAGAGTCACCTTTGTCTTCCTTCTCTTTATTTTACGTTAAATTCTTCTGGATGCTGGGGACGAAACCGCTTCACCTCCAAACTTCTCTAATTAATTTTCATCTGATGAAAAAGTTGCCTAACAAGTGGTTTGATGTAATTAATAACTGTTAAATCTCAGCGGCACACACACAAACATGCATACACAGCACTCCACAAGCTGGATTAGGCCGTATAGCTGAGGAAAGTAGACAACACCTAACAAAGGTCCAATGGGAGCATAGGTATCTGTGTCACTGGGGGAAAGTGTGTTGTAAACTTTCTCCCCATTGTCAGGACTAGCACAGCGTGAGCCCTCTGTGCAGTGGGTTTTTTTCAAGTCTTCTACCTTTTTACATGAAGATTTTTATTAACGAAGGACTGTGGGAACCAGCTCATCTTTGCTGAGCCCTAAAGACATTTGATTGGCTGTAAGGTTACTATAGTTGTAAGTGGTGGCAACAGTGATTGGATACACGAGCAAGCCGCCAAGTTAATTACTCTGTGTTCTTTGCGCGCGATCATAACGGTTTTTACTGCTTATTTCGTTATTTTCATTCGCTTTGGGATAGAGTTGGGGGTGGGGAGGGGAGTTCAAGCCTGTGAGTCCTTCACTACCCTCCACCACTGCTCGCACAAAGAAATCCATCCTTATTTCACAGAACGATAACCATTTTAAGGTAACACCCTTCGTAACCTTCATGCGTAAAATTGTGGAATCCCTTGCTCATGAAAATAATTTTGTCAATGATCTATAATAATTATTTATGATAGTCAAGCCTTCCATCTAAATGTGTTCCTCAGCTCAACCTGGGGCTTCTGTACTGAGTGACCGGTCAACAACCTCAGAGTCACCTGCCACGAATGCAAACCCGAAGAATGGACAGGAGACGCCGCTGTCTTATGCAGGTGAGCTTCTCTTTGAGGCTGACTCACTAAATATTTGATTATAGTTCTCGTCAGTAGCTGTAAAGTTTCTAATGTGATGCTGACTAATTTTTGTTAATATTTTCTTTTTGATATCATGGCCTGTAGGGTTCCCTATAAATTTTATCAAACGAAAGCGTGTTACACGCTGCAAGTAACGTCTTGGAATCACAGACTCTTAAGTTTTTTTTCAATGGAGCATATTTTGCTGATTTGGAACAACCCTTTGAACCCAGGACATTCTCAAATCGCTTTCCCTAGATTGCTTGAACATGATTAGCGCCAGGTGCACTGGCTGTTCAGGATTTTGAGAAATAAGTCCAGGACTGGATTTACAGTTCTAATGGGTTTTAAAAGTTAACGTTCTTGTCTGAAAAGCAAAGAAAGAAACACAATGTGGCAGCACATTCTCTGATCATGTCCTGCTCTCGATGCCACAAGCGAGGTCCCAACAAACAGGGAAGAAACCATCACAATTAAACACCATCTGGCTGGCTGCACAGTTTCTGAGTGTGCCCCGCTTTAGATACCATTATTTAACACTCTGCAGTCACTTGGTGCAATAATCACCTGGCGCAATTTTGCGTCAGGCCGAGAAGTCTGTTGCAGTCTCTCTCCTTGCTGGGTGACCAGATGGGATATTTTGTGTGCTGTTGGTTGTCTGACTGCAAAATGTTAAGCTCTGATAGGCAGGTTAGAAGCAGCCCACCTCCAAAACTGTTTTAATTATGTCGATGGTGGAGTAAAACACTTACACATCATCATCATCATTGCCTTTCTCACCCTAGGTCAGGATATATGGCAACGAACAAACACTTTCCGCCTTTCCCTATCCTGTGCTAGCCTCTTGATGTTATTCCATGTCTTTCCACTTTTCTGTATTTCGATTGCTGTGACTCTTCTCCAGGTTCCACTTGGTCACTGTGAGTTTCAATCCAACACTTTCCTTGTTATGTAACTGTCTGACATCCAGAGAGTATGAAAACACTTACAGTTACTATTAAACATCATCTGGCTGCCAATCTAATTGCATTCTGCTTCAGGTGCCATGAGCGAGGCTCCGACACTCACGCCCTCTGGTGGAGTCCGCCCACACAACCCGACGCCGGCCCATGCCACTGGTCAGGGCAGCCCTGCCCCTATAAGGCCCAAGAACCCCACCCCAGCACATGCTGGCAAAGTCCAGACTGACCGTCCAGGTGAGATGCCTCCTCGCTTTCTTTGTTAGTAGATCTAGTGTTGTTGAACTGTTGTTTTTTTGTTTTGTCGGAGCTTTAGGCGTAGGTTAGATGGCCCTGTGGTGGTAGTAGTCATTGCAGATTGTGTAGGATATCTGTTTGTCTGTCTGTCTGTCTGTCAGCTTGCCTGCCTCCCTGTCTCTCTCTCTCCTCCCCCCTCTCCCTCTCTCTCCCCCTCCCTTTCTCTCCCCCTCCCCCTCTCTCTCCCTCTCTCTCCCAATGATCTGAATTGAGTACATAAATCATGTCTCAATTTCTCTTTCTTGTCATCTATTAGAAACCACTTTATCATGAATTTTGGTCACCAGTTTGTCTAGAGTTATCAAGAGTATTCGTACATTTTAGTTTTCTAATACTTTTTACCCTTAGAATGTTGCAGATTTTATCATATTTTTTACTCCTTCAATGCATTAACCTGTCCTGGAAGTAGTTTCCTTTTTCACTTTTCCTCTTTTCATTGATGTCTTTCTGTCAGCATTCTTAGGATTTTTTACTTTTGTGTTCTCAGTGTTTTTCTTTTTAAATGTTTTATTGAGTCTGATGTTGTGGACCACAGGTTCTTACACCCATATATGGTTGATTATTCTTGTTCTTGTTTTAATGAAACTTAGATTGTCAGTTTCCTTTCAAGGCGTTAGAATTCCTAAATTTGTTAAGTATTTTTCTTTAACGCTGTTGTTTTGCTCAACAATCTACGGCCTCTACAGGAAATCCCACGCCCAAAATAGCCCTGGGTGTGGAGACTCCGTCTGAGTACGAGCCGTCCATTGTCAGGGGAGAGTATCCCATGATTCTTGAACATCCGTGGGAGGAAGAGAGTCAGAGTCAGTGTCAGAGAGTGTCGTCATGGCCTCCCTATTCCTATCACTTTGTCCATCTCAGAAATAGACATTATTTTTGTTATGCAGATTGGAGTAGTTTTAAAGACTTGAATATATAAATCTTTTTATACATCACTGTAAAAATCAGGGGGAGATGGGGAAAATTATCAAAAGTATTTGTCAAGAAAGAAAGATGAAGAGTCATTGTGCCTACTCACAGAATTTTTTTAAAGATTTAAAATTTAAAGGTGTTTTTTTTTTTTTTTTTCATTTTCTCTTGGGGAAAAAAAATGGAAAATGAGACAGACAATTTGATTTTGATGGTGATGGCGTGCTTGTGTGCTGTGGAAATTCATACCCTTGACCTCATTATCCTCCTAACGATGTTGGCCTGCCAAACTCGCGTATAATAAAATGAAGATCCTGTTTGTTTTTTTAACTCAGCTTTGATGCCAATTTTGAACTTTCTTATGATTTACTCTTATAATTTATTTAAACTCTCACAAACATTTTCACCAGTTTAGTATCTCTTTAATTCATCTGAGATTTTACTAGAATTTTTTAATGCACAGATTGGTAAAGGGATAACACCACAGTAATGTATATATATATATATATAACTGTTTGAGGGTATCGAGGCAGAGAAGTCTTAGTTTCACAGTGATGAATGTAGATATATATGTACAGAAAACTTCAATAGAGTTTTTGGGGGGTTTTAAAAATAAAACTCTGAATTTTGTTTACTCTTCAAACCATGTTCTCCAATGTCTATTTCAAGTTTGGTACTTGAAGAAAGAGAATCAAAGTAAAGGATGTATGAACAGAAAGCTTCAAGATTAGGAGAGGGAGGAGGGGCTATGTTAAAACTCTGAATTTGAATTTAGTTTGCCCAAGAATTGGCAGACCTGAACCCTATTACCCGCTTTGTCAATCCCATGATGCTGTTCAGACCGCTTTTACACTTTATAGAGATGGACATTTAAGATTGGAGCCTGTAATTTTTTAACCAAATGATTGTCTTTTAAGGCAGAGTCTGTTAAGCTTTAATAATGATTGTAATAAAATATGGCAATTATACAGCATTTATCCCTGATTAAAGTGCACAAGCTCTGAGCACTTTACAGTACAACGGTAAAATATAATCAGTATATTGTATTCTGACCTAAAGAAAATCACTTTCTGAATATTTATCTCATTGATTAAAAAAAAATATGTGAGAAACTTTAACTTTTTAATTTGGAGCATTTGGCTGGTTTGATCCTTGAACATCGTTGATCCACTCAATTTCTTTTGGGTTTTTTCATCAACAAATTGTTTGCTTAGCCACTCCAGACATTTTTAGCTCAGCTTTATTATAATTGCCAGAAATTCAGTTCTTGTCTGCATTTTTCTGAGAAGACTAGAACTCCATTCCCAAGACTTCCGAAGACAAAGCGTTTGTGGTTTTCCATGTACTCTATTGGTGCCCAATCTTGGGAACTGACTAGCTAAACTTATTTTCAGTTCCTAACTGATTCTTTTCTTCGTTTTTAAAATCGCTCTCTATATTAAAAGCAAATTTCGGAGACAATGAGAAAAAAAAAATAGCTGTAGTAACGCTTGCGTAAACATGGAGACGACTTAATTGTTAGTTTTATCTGGTATTATATTATCTCATTTTCAACCGCCTGCCTCAGCACCGACTTAAATTTATAAACCTACCTCTCCCAAATCCTGCTTGCTGATGGGAATTTTATACCTAAAGCCCTGCTTTCTAAATTATATTTGTTGTTACAGAGTCCTATATGTTATGCTGAATGCTCTTAAAAAATGTTCCTTCACTGTTTTGCTTTAGTAATCTTTTGAGATGGTCTAAAACTTGCACACTATATGTAGTGCCTACTACTGCTTTTTGTACTTGAAATTTCATTTTGTGTGCAAATGAACATTTAACCCGGTTTGAGTTTGTTTTGACATTAACACCATAATCTTATTATTGTATCTCATTTTCTGACTCGCCAATTGCCTGTGCAAACGTAATCCTCATGAAATGTGCAATTTCTGTTGGGATTTTTTGTTCAGTTTTAGACTTGAACTCATATAATTATGTGAGACCCATTATGCATTGTTGATATTCATTAAATCAGAACAATAAAGAGAGAACATGGTCAGTTGATGAGTTGTTGAGAAAGGGAGAAAAAGGCGGGGGGGGGGGGGGGGGAGGGGGGAGAGGATATTTGTAGATTAAAGCTTGCAGGGAAATAAAATACATGATTATTTGAATAATTTGAGTAATATAAGGAAGGTGCCTCAAATTGCTATAAGGATAGTCATTCAAAAAACTGTACAGATTTCTGATAATAGGTTTGGGGAGGAAGAGGGGGGCAGGTTAAGCTAAATGTCCCTCTAGCCTGGAAAGAAAAGAAGTAAAAAGACATTATGTAAATGTAGGCCTACATGATGTATTATTTCCTGTAGGTTTATGTCTGTAACATGCTTCTTGACTGTGCATTGTTCCAAGTTCAAGTTGACTGAGAGTAATAAGGTGTTATGGATTGATTTTTTCCAACCTATGGAGTTACTGGATTTGCAGGTCCTGTGAGCTTGAGGAGAGAGTAGTGAATTTGAAGACTACCAGTACAGGGGAAAACAATGGAATTGCATTTTTTTTATTACATTCGATTTAGATAGTATATTATGGTTGCAAAAAGTGTGCTTTTCCTCCTCTTGCTGGAGCCACTCATACGCCTCTACTTCTCTGACATAATAAAGAGACCAGATGGCATCTTTTGTCCATACTTTCCCTGATTGCTGTAAAGCTCTCTTTAACCCTATCCGTACGCCCTGGGGTCATTTTGTACCCCTGGGGTTGTATTCTTCACATTTTAGAATACTTCAAAGATCTCTTTGAAACTTTCAGTATTTCTCAAAAAATCATTTTGACAGACTGCTATGCAAATCGTATGAATGGGATTAATGAGTAATTTCCTCTTTGGAAAGTGGTGGCACAGAGTTCCCCATGTCATATGGATACGATAGTAAAACACGACGTACAGATAGGGTTAATCTTACTTATGATATATGTTGATTGTGTTAGTCTGGCTAAAGAAAATTATCTGCTTGAACTTGGCAATGAAGGATCTGCTTGCAGCAAGGTCTATTACTTGGTTGGCCCGTAGAGTGTCCAACTCTCACAAAGATGAGAACAATTGATTTCAGGTGTATGTATGTGTGTCTGTTTGGTGGGGGGGGGGGTTAAGCTTTAAGCTCTTTGCCGTTGCACTCAGAAGTTATGTGTTCAAACCCTGTATGGAGAAATTTTTAAAAATAGAGTAACTCCTTCTGTTCTGTCTACAGGGATACTGCATCCCACTAAGCCTGGTTTGTGTTGGCTTGGACAGTCAGGCAGGGTTGAAGTAGCCCGCCTTCTTAATTATCTAAACCATGTTAATGTGGGAGTAGAACATGCTCGTTTGCTGAAATACTACAACTACGACCGTTTGATCAGAATGAATATTTCAGACCATGATTTTATGTTTTTGTGTGGGTTTTTTTTTTTCAACATTTAGAACTTGAATTTCAACAAAGTAATTCTCCGGCACGTGCAACGAATATCTTAGATTAAATCAAGAAATAACAAACTACTTACAAAAACAAACTTTGGAGTTTGAAGCTTCGAACAGCTTGCCGGCTTTACAGAATTTACCGTCCCTTTCTAACATCATCTGTTCTTCTGTAGAAAACTAACTGATTGAAGGGGATGTTTTCTTCCCAAGCTACGCCAAACATCTATCTGCCTTTACTCCTCAAAACAACAATTAGAGCAGACATGCAGCTATTACAGAATGGCAGCATAAAGAAGATTTACGCTCAGATGCTACTGGATCGCTAACAACAACAACAGCAACTGTCCCTTTCTGTTTACCTCAGACATGGAGATCAAGAGCACAGACAGAGAGCTGAGTCACCACCAGGCCCTGACCACCAACGTGATCGGGGAACCCAGGTCTGAGTCTGTTCCTCTGCCCACGTCCATCAAAGGAGGGAGACCAGGAGCACAGCCCAACATCAGGGTATGGCTTGTAATATGTGAGGCATTGTGGCGAAATCAGGCGCTCATCAAAATAATGAAATCGAAGAAAATGGCGTTTTTCTTCCCATATGTCAGGGATGCCAAATGATTTTTGAAAAAAAAAACATGAAAATGAGCGGAGCGTCACATCTCACCTAAAACGTACTTTGTAAAATCTTTTAAAGAGCAAACAAAAACATTTCTCTTACCATTCCCTTGTCCATTGCAAGTGTATGAAAAAAACGGAAAAAGCCGAAAAAACCAAAGATTTGGCATCCCTGCATATATAGCAATTTTTATGGAATTTATATTTTTTGGCTCAACACTTTTCGTCCATTTAAAAACACATTGCTGTTTCGCTTTTACTGAAAAATATTGAATAAAAGCACAAAAAAAGTAAATTTACAGTTTCCAATGGCTATGGAAGTCGCCAAACTTTGGCGGCCATTTTCTCTCTAATTTTACTTCTGAAACCAAGTGACACCTGCTTCAATTCGAAATATCTCGACTTCTGTTAAAGATAGGTGGATATTTTTTTCATGGAAAACAAGACAAATAAACAAGATTTAAGATGATACCAATGCCTCCGTATGCTCAAAAATTGTTGAGCACCTGATTCCACCGCGTTGTAACACATATAATGTGAGGTGCTCGTCAAAATAATGAAATCAAGGAAACAGACATTTTTCCGCGATATGGCAACTTTTATTAAAAAACACATTTTCATGTAAATTCTTCTGAAAAACACTGAAAAGGCATGAAATATGTAATTTATAAGTTTTCAAGGACTCTCAAGCTATTGAAGCTACCAAACTTTAAGTTATACGCCATTCTCTCACTAATGTTACCACTCTCACCAGATGACCCCACCTCTTCCAATTGCAAATATATCTTTACTTCTGTTTGAGATAGATAGGTATTTTTTCCAGTGAAAGCAAGGTGAATGAATAAACATTCAGATGATACCAATAACTCCACAAGCCCAAAAATTGATGAGCGCCTTATTCCACTGCGTCAAGACATATTATTGTGTATGTTTGTATAATTTATTTATACCACATGGCCGTGTCATCTGGTGATGAAAAAAACCCATTTCATTGGCAAGCTGTTCAACTGTTCTTAGCCAAGAAAACAAAATTTTTCAGGAGGTAAAAAAATGTTTCATACTTCTAGTAAGTTAGCAATTGTACTTTGATTGCGTATGTTTTGTATGTTTTCTGGCTTTTTTAAAACAATATTTAGAACTTGAATTTCTATAAACATTTTTTGAGCACATGCAACTGATACCATTGTTTAATTCATTACAGTTTGAAAATTCGAAATATTCAAACTTTTGGGCATAGAACGTCGGAACAGCTCACCAACGATTTGTTTTAGTTTTAATGATTGAAAATTTGGTAACTCAAATCTTACAAAGAGGTATACAAATTTTTTCCCTTTTATTTTTTCATGGATCCTGGCTTTTTTCTCCCTTATAAATGTTTTTATGTCGAACTGTAGCATCATGAAGCTCTTCTTATGGGGTAATACTAATAATTTTGAAATGTGATTTTATTGGGGGGGTTTTTCTCTTCCCGTCTTCATGTCAATTGTTCATGTTTGCTTTGTTTGTTTTTTTCTTTTTTAAAGGACCCATGGCATGGTAAGCAAAACTTTTGTAAAACTTAATACGAAGATTTCTATAATTTATATCAATCAACCACTATGCACTAAACCATAATCAGAGTTTTCAGTACCTGTAAATAGGATTTGTATTAATTTGTAGTATCAGTCGGATATATTCAACTCTCAAGAGTGCTGCATTTCTGTTCTTGGCATAAAAGCCGGCTTCCTAAATGATTTAAATTCTGTCAACGGGAGTGTAAAACAACGGTTTACAATTACTATTACAGTACATTCAGACGGAGGACCCTGTACGACGACAGGTGAAGACATCTCTCGTTGCCGGGGCAACCATCAAGGGCAAACAGCAGCTGGGCATGATGCGCGGCCTCATCTGCCAGCCCGAGGGTGTTAACTTTGGCGTGCTCAAAGAGGGCTGCACGTACGCGTTTGCCGTGATGCTACGCAACACGGGTGTAGACACGTGTCGTTTCAAGGTCAGACAGCCACCGCCAGCGACCGGTCTCCGTGTCGTCTACAAACCAGGGCCTGTGAGTGCTGTAACTCTTTCTTGTGTGTTTGTTGCTGTTTCTGTTGTTGTTGTAACTCAAAGTGAAGTCAGGGTACTCTGAGGTGAATCCACTTTTACTTTTATGCTTTTGAGAGAAAGGGAAAAGGGAGGGTGAGGCTGAAAGGTAGGGAGGGTGGGAGCTTGACATATGTTAAAAATAAAAGCTGACATTTCAGGAATTTTTGTGGAGCAAATATCATCACATTCTGGGAAACATTTGTGAAATCAGGCACTCATCAAAATTATAATGAAATGGAAGAAACCAGCATTTTTTCTCCGGCTTGATAATTTTTACAGCTTTTGTATTTTGACTCAACACCTTTAATGTCATTTTCAAAACAAATGTTTGTTTTGATTTTACTGAAAATCGCTGATTAAAGACAAAAAAAATGTAAATTTTCACTTATCCAAGGACTCTCAATCGAGCTATGGAAGTCACTAAATTTTGGCATCCATTTTCTCTCTAATTTTACCGCGGAAACCAGGTGATCTCAACTTCTACTCAAAATAGATGGTTATTATTTTATTTGAAATCATACATATGTGTGTTCTCACAATATTCAGTCTTGACCAGAACTGGAAATTGAACTGAAGCCATATTTGGAATATATATATAAAGGAATTGTTTTTTATTACGATCCACTCATTGTTTTTTTGTTCTTGTGTGTATGTTGTGGCAGGTGGCTGCGGGCATGAGTGTGGAGCTGACGCTTGAACTGTACGCCATCGCCAACGGGGTGGAGGGAGAGTCTGGCGTGGGAAGCCTGGGTCATGTACTGGAGGTCGTCACCGAGACAGATGTCCTGGAGGTGCCCATCGTGGCAAATATCCTTGACTTCGTGTTGTTGTTGTTGGTGCCATATTGTTATAAACTTATTTGACTTTACTTTATCCGTCCTCTTGTACCTCTAGGACATCGAGGGGAGAAAGAGTTCCCTGTCTCTAACAAGTTTGATGGCCTGACTAGGTGGGATATTGTATGTTCTCAGGGTATCCTTCAGTCCCTGGATATTGTTATAAAACCACCCAAAATGTTTGTAGGAGTGGAGTTATAAGGAAATCTATGATGCTGAATAATTTGATTACAAAAATGGCAGTGCGCAAACATGGACTATCCTGCTGCCTTCTGTATTCTAAGAGTTAAACAGTGGACAAGTGTCAACCTAGTCTACTTTAGTAATGGGTTCTTTGTATTTTGAGTCATGTATATATGTCTTTAATTGAGCAAGGTGTTCATGATTCTTGCAAAACCTGTGTGTGGTGGTCTATTTTCAAGGAGTACTGGTAGCTTAGTGCGTTTATTTTCTAAATTTGTGATTGATTGCTTCAAATAAGTACCAGTATATTCTTCAAGTATCTTATTTGCAAATACAGCAGGGATTGACAAATGTCTCAGGCTCTTCCAGAATTCGGGTTATCTGATAAGGAAATTTTAAGAGGTGTCAGTCAAGGAATGACAAATTGCAAGAGCTATCCGTGGTTTTTAGATATTTCTGCTTGCGCGTTATCTGTTCCCGAGTGTACTACAAATATTTTGTGGCAAATCTTTGGCCACTGCAAATAGCCTAGCATTTTCTTAAATTGTCTTTGTATCTACCTTGACTCTATCACCTATCCTGACTGCCCACGAGTATGAGAATCCCGAGCTCTCTCCAGCCGGACTGAGAGAAACAAATGCCCGCCTCATTTCTACACGACCCCCAGCCTCTACAGGGATCATTCGTCCTCGAAGAGAACAGAAGCTTAGTAAGTACAAGAACGATTTTCACCTTAAGGTACACCTAACAATATTTGGATAAATTATACCTTGTCTGGATAGTTCAATTAAGATAATTTTTGGGCTATCATATTCATCCTGAAGAGAACACAAGCTTAGTAGCCTAAATGCCAGTACAATTTTCACAATAAGTGAAGGTACACTTAACACATTACACCCTAACTCGCCCGGGATTTCCCTTTCGTGCTTCGCCCCGAACCTCCCGTGACGACCTACCATCTTTAGAAACGAAGTCTCGCCTTGACGAGACTCTGGGGCCGAGATTTTGATTTGCATAGCAAAAAGTTTCTTCTTTTGTTTGATAGCCTACCGAAACGAAATTTTTCGGACCAGTAGTTTTAGTATTAGAGCTGATCGAAGTACGATCGTGTTACCGACACTTCGAAAGTGTCTCGACTTGTTGAAAAGCAACACAATTGAGCTCAAAAACGGAAATAACGATGGATTTGAGCAAAAACAAGCATATATATATGACAAATCAGATGGCTCAGATTTTAATGAAAACGTTGTAGCAAGAGTTTGGGGCGATTCCGATTGATCAGACGCAGAAAATCTAGAATTTAGATCTAGGGCCCGAGTTTGGGGCGATTCCGATTGATCAGACGGAGAAAATCTAGAATTTAGATCTAGGGCCCGACCGCGAGGCTGAGAGTGAGAGTGACGGGTCGTACACCCTGATTGAACTAAAGTTAAAACATTTCCAACAGTTTGCTCATACATGAGTTATATTTTTCTGAAACTACATTCAGTTTTCTTTTTAACTTTTATTTTTTCAGGATTTTTGGAATTTGTTTAGTATTTTTTAAATGTGTTTTTTAAAGACTTGTATTCACGGGAGGTGGGTTCCTTCCCCTTGCTTAGGATCTAACAATGAACTTCCCGTCCAGGCCTTTAGGGTGTAATGTGTTAATAATTCTAGGAAAAATTTTTCGATGTCTGGATACTTCAATTAAAATAATCTTTTGGCTATCACTATCACATTCAACCTTGCAGTACAGTAGTCTCCGCCTAAACGCACGCCACACAAAAGCACGCTCCGCTCAAACGCACGCTTTCGTCATCTGACTGGTTTTTTACTGTATAATTTAGACGTACAAACGCACGGTCACTCCCCCTAAACGCACGCTCCAATCTGCGAAACACGCTGACAGGTAAAGCTTGACAAAGGGAAATTTCACTACGACTACTGTACGATCTGCATAGCTTGCTTAAGACAAGCTTAGAAAACCGGATATTTTGAGAGACTGCCCCTTACGCCGAACAAAGAGAGTGATGGACAGCATTTTCACACACAACTTTCCAGACACATAGGTCTAGGACTGGTTGGTGATATGTTGGGGGATTGGGGGACTGAAACGTTATTTGATTGGTCACTGGTAATGCATCTCTTTGAGAGAAGGTTTCTGAGTGGTGTTTGAGTGACTGCGTGTTGGCTAATGTTTAGTTAGACCTAAGCCTATGATGCGCAACACGTGTGAATGCTCGTTCATGAATTTACGGTCGGGGGTGGTCGCTTGGAAAGCCACGTGGCTGGGCTGTCGTCTCTATGACTATCACCAACAATTTCTTTTTAGGCTATTAGTTCCCGACATTTTATGGTGCATTCATTACATTGAGTCTGTCTTTCTGCCCCCCCCCCCCCCACACACACACACCCATTCAACGCCTTTGCAGTCTTAACCGCAGTAGGGGAATCTTTTACAAAACAGTCATGTGTCGTCACATTATCGGCCCAAAGTGACCCCCGCCCCAAAGAGAGGTCACTAGAATATCAAGGCAATGAGATGACTGCGTCCCTTCCTCCCTTTGCAAAGGTTCATGGGGGGCTTTCGTGGCCTAGAGGTTAAGGTGTTGGCCTCTCACTCAAAAGGTCCCGGGTTCGAATCCGGGTAGCGACCGAAAAATTTTCTTCTCTAAATTTGTCTCCTTTCACCTCATTTCCTGCTCTCTAGCAATGTTCTGTCGTCTGCTTTCGTCTCCTCCTACCCCCACCCCCACACCTCCTTTGCCCCTTCCTTTGGGCTCCTGATTCTTTCTGCAGCCTTTCTACTGCTACTCCTTCGCTTCTTCTTACTGCTGTCTTTCAGCCACACCCCTGATCTTCTGGTAGGAAAGATCTACACCTAGCCTTCTCGGACAAGGGCGAAAAAATCTCGGAGGGCCCGTGTGCAAGTTGCGCACGTTAAAGATCCCTTGGTGGTCTAAAATCGATAAGAGTAGGCTTCGGCCGCCACCCGGGCAAAATTCAAAATTTCCTACCAACTGAAAATATTAGGTGTGTCCCGCGCGCTCATATGACCTTATGCAGTTGCGAGCGCCGTAAAACACTGTACTAAAACAAACAAAGGTTCATGTAAACGCACGCTCCGTATAAACACACGCTAAGGAGCCCTCCCGAGTACCGTGCGTTCAGGCGGAGACTACTGTACATAAAATGGAGATCTTTCTGGAACTGTCTTCCCTTCCACAAAATAGTATTTTTTTCATAGTTAGTTAACAAAATACAGAGCGATCATGTTAATAATATCCCTTAAGTGTTTCCTTGTTTTGATTTATGAGTGTTAATATGTCACATGTCACAACTATGTTTTTTTCCTCTCTTTTTCTACAGGCACAGTCTCATGAATGACCTATGGAATTTCCTGATGCCTTAATACAGATATTCTGGAGTGAGCAAATTATGGAGTGATATAAAATATTTGATTTTCCATATATATTGAAATTATCATTGTATAGTTATTGATTACTAGATAGCAGAATGAAATTGACATCTCTAAACAGGGACCAATGTACAATTCTTTGTATTGCATCGCCACTGGATTGACTCATTTATTACTGTTTGAACCTTATTTTATTATTTTTTTTAGAGAAGTGTATATTTCCTGACAGAAGCGAAATGTTGTGGGTGTTGACAATGTGTATCTGCGGACGATAAGGCAACCATGATTATTTTCTCCATTTTTAGCATCAGCAGACATATATACATTTAATTTACATAGTCACTTTTAAGGCTAAGGACAAGCGGGCTAACTCAGATTTCGGGGGTTTCCAGAAATCTTGACCTCCACCAAAAGTGGGCATTAGCCTACCTCTCTAGAAGTTTGGATTCATTGGTGTGTATATATTTGTTTGATTATAGAGAAAACTCTACTTGTCTTTTAAAGAAACTGAACAAGGGTCCAAAAATACAAATGACATGAGCTTAGTATATGTTGTCACCATCATTCAACATTTTAGGTGTCAAAATTTCAAGAGAAAAAAAAGGAAATCAAGTAGGCTATGTTGTCGAGTTTGATGAGGCACATAGATTAGTAGTCGTAGTCTCAATTATCTTTTTATTAACCCTATCCGTACGTCATGTTTTATTATTGTATCCATACAACATGGAGAACTCTGACTCTGTGCCATCACTTTCTAAAGAGGAAATTTACTCGTTAATCCGAACCGTAGGCTTTGCATAGCAGTCTGTCAAAGTAATTTTTTTAGAAATACTGAAAGGTTCAAAGAAATCTTCGTACTAGAAGTATTCTAAAATGTGAAGAATACAACCCCGGGGGTACAAAATGACCCCAGGGCGTATGGATAGGGTTAAAATAGAAAAAGGTGTTGACAAATTTAACATTTTGTATTAAGATAATGTTCTGTCTGAAAAGAAAGTTTTTTGGGTCCTCCTGAAATCCTTGTCCCTTGACATATATATATATTATATATATGACAATGATGAATGATGGCAGTGATATAGCTCAAAGATTTTGATAGTTTTACCCTTGTTGGTAGTGGTTATAGCTCAGTCAAAGAGACACTAGCCAGTGGTGAGTGGTGAGGGTTGACCAAGTTCAAACCTGCTCTGAGTTTTTCAGTTTGTCCATCCTGAACTTTTAGTATAATCCATGTGAAAGCAGTTAATTTCAAGGTCCAACCACTTTAACAGCTTACATTGTGTTGACAGAGACGTAAAAGTCTGACTCAAATTTACTTTAATCAGTCTGTAAGCCAATACTTTGCTTAAAAGTAAAAACCACTGTGCTTCACGAGTAATTCTGCAAAATCTGAAAGAATTTGTTGAGAACTGGTAGTGCCTTGGATGCGGAAAAGGAGTCTATTTAAAGAGGTCTGAATCAATGAAAGTTTCAGTCAGCTTGTCTTGTGTACAAGGACTTGAAATTTCCAATAAACATGAGTACTGTATTTGGTCATGCATTGATGTAGGCCTACATTACTCTACATTTACTGGTGTAAGTTATTGATCCCTTCACTAAAACATAATTTACTCTTTATGATTGGAAAAAAAGGGAGGGGGAGGGTGGGGGGAGAGGAGGCTTTTGGTTCCTGACCTGGCAAAATATTCAGTATAAGTACCTGAATTTACTAGATTTTTACCTGGGCTGGACCAAAAGATGTGATCTTTTCATTGACCCACACTAAAATTTGCTGCATCAGTAGTGTCAATTTTTTAAAGGAACACTATAGGTGATAGCTCGAAATTTTAAGCGATCTTTATGAAGATATCTTACTAATTCTAATCAGTTTTCTTTGAATGAAACTGAAAAATTTCTATGAAACATAAAGTGCTGCTGCACAAACATGTTGGTGTGAACAGTAGGGCTTTGTTTCTGAGAATAAAAACAAACAAAATCTTTGTCTTGTTATCAGCATGAACTGTGATACGTCCATTTTCTTTTCTTAAATAAACCAAACAATACAAAAACGATCATCTGAATTCTATTCTTGCAGTGTTTGACCAAGTCTTAGGATTAATTTTGGTTCTCTGTGCTGAATATGCATGTATGCGAGAGTGTGTGTTTGGCTGTCTGCGCAAACACGGGTCTGGATCTTGAAGGGTCAGAGGCCTAGAATAAAATAATGTGGATGTTTGACGGGTGCTTTGGTGTAGTCTGTTCCTTCTTTCCGATCAAACATCTATTGTCCTCATCTCTTCTCCTTCATTTTTATGTATATCACTTCTCTTGTAACATCTCTAGTCTAGGGCTCTTATATAAGACCTAATTGAGTTGCAAGTGCCATTTATTTTCTAAAAACATAACAAAACAAAATAAAGTCAGCAGATCAGTAGAGTGCCATGGTTCCTCAGACATTTTCCTACTAAAGGTGTCATAGAGTGCACCCTACTCTGTCATGGTCACTGTATAGGGTAAACTCCCCCTTCAACACTGTAAGCCTTTTTTTAAGAGACATGACCTTGGAATTAAGGAAGGGTATCCTACCCAACCCGACTTCCTGCTGTGTGACTGCCAGGATGAAACAGTATCACACCACCCCTTTACCTGCCCTGCACTTAGCTACCTGCAGTGGTTGATCAGTACCTTCCTACCTGCCTCACTAGATATAGGAAGTAGGGCCTACTCTACACAGCGAGAAAACACAGCTGATAAAAACCTGTAAATTGCCATACCGACAGGTCGAAGAGCTTTAACTCAGATGGCCGCTGGATCGGAAAAGTAAAGTAAAAGTAAGATCTATAAGAGACAGGACTTACGAATTTCACGTCCATCTCCGATAAGACCCAAGCCAAATGGGCGGAGAGACTTAAAATCTCCCTAAAACAGCCCCAGCTCCGAATGCCTTGTTAGGGATTTGAACCATGGCCATCCCGCATGATACCAGTGGAGCTAGCGGTGCATACCAACCCCCTCCCCCGTGTATCAGTAGGTCAAATGGTTAGGCTCTTCATCGTGTACGCTAAGGAAGAGAGCTACAGTAGAGTCTGCCTAAAGTTTAGTTTTTAGATTTAGTAGAGGTTTTACGACGCTCGCAACTGCATAAGGTCATATTCATATGAGCGCCAAAAGATTAGAGGAGTTACAAGAGAGTAACAAACATAAAAAAGAAGAAGGGGAGATAAGGACGATAGATGTTTGAGAAAGAAGAAGCAAACCACATCAGAGCACCCGCCAACCACCCACTCTGCCTAAAGTGAACATGCTTTATTTGAACAATTGGTTAAAGTGAACAATATAGGTAATATATTCCGTGATCCCGATTGAAACGCTATTTGTTTAAGTAGAAAAATGGCGGCTAAATGAACAGGTTTCATGGGGAAATCGGATAAAGTGAACGCCCCAAATGAGTGAAAGCAAAGAACAGACCGACCGGGTCACTATCGCCATGCTGTGAAAATAGAATTCTTTCTCTCGGGCATCGGCAGACAATCCCAGCTTGGTGTTGGCGATGGCAATCTCAGTCAGAAAGAAAGAGATCTAGTCTAGGCTTGCCTGTTGTGTTATATCCCCACTCCACCTCCACCCTAGAACCACCACTGCGTGTAGCAAAATGGTTAAACTGAATCTCGGATAAAGCGAACACCTTCTTTTGGTCCCAAAGAGTTCACTTCCACTGTAGATTATTTTTCCCATGAGGGGCAAGACATTCTACTAACTTTCTGGCAAAATAAAATATGAGCAGCAACACACCTCCCTGAAAGTGAAAGGCACCGTTCTCAGCAAGTACCATTTATTCAATACTTCTCAGATCAGATCATCATAATTGCCCAGTAATTCGTTGAATAGGCTTCTGGTAGTGGTAGTGTACAAAAATGTAAAAATGAAGATCATATCATAATAATGAACCAACAAACAGATGACATTTCATTATTTACCAAGCTGTTAAAAATTTTGTCAAATGGAAAATCAATGAAGTGTATAATTTAACTCTCTCTCTCTCTCTCTCTCCTCTCTCTCTCTCTCTCTCTCTCTCCTTCCCTCCCTTCTTTTACAGTTATTCAACAACATGTTCTTAAAATCATTCAGGTCAATTTTATGCAAAACACAGGCTAGGCATCTATTCATCTGGGGTTTCTGGTTGCACTTCAGTATTTGCAAATCTTGACATAAAAATCTGGGGGAAAAAACAAACAAAACAAAATACAGATGTTTTAGTTTTAGTAGAGGGTTTTACGGCGCTAGAAACAGCATAAGGTCATATGAGCGCCAAGGGGTGGGTGTCAACAGAGAAGTCTTAACAGGGAATCAGACTTACTCTGCTCACCTTTCTAGCTTCAACAGCACAAAGTCTACTTCGACTATCAAGGCACCCCGGAAATAGCAGGTCACAAGAGTGTGACAAACATACAAAAGAAGTAGAGGAAAATGACAATAGTAAGGATTAGGAAAGAAAAGTGTGACATGATGAATCAGCCCATTTACAATTCTACTGTGCATGAACGAGAAACGTCCCCCCTTTGGGAATGGCATAAAGACACTACAGTCAGTGGCACTGCCCCGAGGGGTTAAATACAGATGTTGAGCTGACAATGACATGATACTGACACTGAATTATCTGTCTTTTCCAAAAACTATGAATAAAGGGAGTTTTGTTTTTCCCTAAATTGGGTAACGTTTCAGCAAAGAGAAACACAATAACACTATAAAGGTTATTTAGTGGTGGGATAAGAGAAAGACAGGCAAGCAAAAACAAGGGAAGGAATGAAAAGAGACAATGCTTTTCTAATGACAGGTAGACAAATGGCCAAACACCGCAGGTTTTTTATTTTCAATTTTTTTTTTCTTTTTCCTTTTTTTGGGGGGTGGGAGGGAAGGAGGTATAAATTTGAAGAGCAAGAGGGGAGGAGGTATAGAGAGAGCAAGAGGGAAGGAAGGACAGAGAGCAAGTAGGGAGGAGGTAAAGAGAGAGAGAGGGGAGGAGGTATGGAGAGAAAGAGGGGATTCTCTATTGTTAAGCCAAAAATGAGGCTCCCAAAAATTTGCTTTCTATTCTTCCAGTGAGAGCAAGACATTCATATATTCAAGGCCTTAAAGTTGAGTTTGCCGGTGGTTGGCAAGTGCTCTGATAAGGTCTGCTCCTTCACATTCTATTATTCCAGTGAGAGCAAGACATTCATATTCAAGGCCTTAAAGTTAAGTTTTCCGGTGGTTGGCACGTGCTCTGATAAGGTCTGCTCCTTCACATTCTATTATTCCAGTGAGAGCAAGACATTAAGGCCTTTAAAATGAATTTTGGGGGCGATTGGCCGATGCTCGGTGTTGTTTGCTTTTTCTTTCGTTATCAAATATCTATCGTTTTTATCTCTCATTCCTTTCTTCGTATGTTACTCTCTGGTAATGCCTCAAATCCCCAGGTCTTCTATAACAATATAATCTTATTGTGTTGCAAGTGCCATAAAACTCGAACTAAAATTAAACAAGTCAAATTTTACAATATCAGCACAACTGAAACATTTTTAACCCCTTCATGACCGATATGACGTACGCTGTTCATCATTTTTTCTTACTCAACGGACGAGCCAGCATGCTGCTGTGACGTAGAGAGTTCGTCAAGCCCTGTGAAGCACGAAGAACCTGATGACGAACGCCGTACCGTCATAAGTTGTATTCGGCATACTCCTTCCATTAGAAGCATTTCGTAAGACCAATCGCAGATTCACATTCGAGAATATTTTTTCCATACAAAGAAATCTTTTCCTTTCAGATAAAGTTAGTAGCAATTTGCCTAATCAGGTCTACTTATAGGAAACTGATCACTAAATCTAGCGCTACTCTTTGTCCCTGGGGATCCCAAACTGTGCCCTGTGAAGCACGAACTGACCCTGTGTCACAAAGGAGTTAAAAGGTAGAAAGAGGTAGACCACCCTTTGCGCATCAATCAACATCCATCACTCCAGACACCGATGTACAAAGAAAATGTAGCCTACCACCAACAAGGCAAAATGTTTCACGACAAGAGAAAATCTCTTCTAGCTAGTTTTCAGTTTTAATACAAAGACAAGATTTATAGCACTCACAATACAAATAAACCATATACATGATGCCAAGGATTAGAAGTGGTACTAGAGAGTAATGAGTAACATACAAAGACAAGAAGGAAGAGAGGTAAGGAAAAGGACGAAGGAGCAGACCACATATTACTATAAGTACCCACTTAAATTGCAGATTCACATTTCGGAATATTTTTTCAGTACAAAGAAATCTTTTCCTTTTAGATATATAGATAGTAGTAATTTGTAGACCAGGCCTAATTATAGGAAACTGACCACTAAGTCTACCTTGTTTCACTTCTTTGCTTCTCCTTTCGAACATCACACTCTGAAACTGTGCTCTCTCATCTCTGTGCTGCATTCATTTTTGTGTAATTTTTTTTACATTCCAATACGTTAGGCTTATGGTGTCTTTTGCATTCATGTCATATTATGCCTGAAATATGATTACTTTGAAATGAATTTTAAAAGACGAACAGAAATCACAGAAAAGACACCCTGACCAAACAACAATTATCCCTCCCCCCCCCCCCCAAAAGAACAAAACAAACAGAACAGCCCCTCCCCTTTTTTTCTCCCCCTCCCCCCCCCCCCCAAAAGGGCATATGTTCTGCGCAATTTACTGATCTGCGCAATCTTAAGCTGCACGTTTTAACGATCATATACTTGCGCGGCCATCTTAAGATTGCACTGCGTGTTTTAACGATGGTACAATTGCGCGGCAATCTGAAGATTTCGTTAATATTTTAAATTTTTGAAATTTATTTTTTTTAATACACTGCCATCTTTATTCTTTTACTCACATCAAGGAACATTCACATACATTTTCAAAAGTGTAAAAATATGAAAAATAAAATTAAAATTAACATATAAAACTGAAGAGGTCACAAGAATGATACAATGCCAGGTATCAAACTCAAAGTTCACAAAGTAGCCTACATTAATTTATTTTATATTTTTGAAATAATCTTTTTTTAAAGTTCACTTCCATATTTATTTGTTTTTTAACTCACATCAAGGAAGATTCACATATATTTTCAAAAGTGTAAAAAATATGAAAATTAAAATTAAAAGTAAAATATATATAAAATATATTATATTAAAATATAAAATATTAACACAATCTTCAGATTGCGGCGCAATTATACGATCGTCAAAACGTGCAGCGCATGCGCAGACTGGTAAATTGCGAGGAACACATACATCAACTCGCAGTGCACTTGTGGTACAAGGCCTGTTGTGTGTGTCTATTGGGGGGGCGGAGCTGATCATGGCGCGAGAAGCGAGACGCACACTCTCTGACCTCACCTGGTGTCACTCCAAGTACCGGCACTTGTGGTTCTTGAAACCCAGTGCCGGGAAAGTACCGGCACTGGGTTTCGCCAGTATCGCCCAGCACTAATTACAAGACCATAAAAATTACGAGTCTAGATTGTATGGGTTTCATTTTTTTTATGTGAAGCATTCACAAAATGAAGATGTACATTTTCACAATGTACATTATCTCACCTCTAAGGCTTGTTTTTTCACATCATCTTCCTTGGCCAACTCTTTCCTGGCTAGATATTTCTGAAATAACAACAAACGAATGATGAAATAATCATAAAATAAATGATGAGTGCAACATTGGTGAAGACGATGATGATGGAAATAGCAGTCACGATCGTTGCCTAGGTAAGAACTCATCTCTCTAGCTCTCTCTTTCATACAATAATAATAATAATAATAATAATAATAATAGATAGCATTAGTATAGCACAAATCCCCGCTCAACAGCAGGCTCTATGCGCTTCACAATCGATACTATTACCCCAGCAGACCTGATAGCATTCTGAAACAACCTCAACTTCCTGGGAAGCATACAGTGCAAGCGGCCATTTATAGACGCTAAAACACTAACATACTGACAAGATCTTTCGCTGTCTTTGGCTGGGCACCCATTCCCACCTGGGTGAAGTGAGGAAAATTCGTGTAAAGTGCCTTTCCCAAGGACACAACGTCGGGCCCGCGGCTCGAACCCCCAACCTCAAAACCTTACGATTACGAGTCCGGTAGCCTAATCACTTTGTACGTTTGGATTGCGCGTCCTTGGATCCAAGTCGGGCAATCCTTGCTGAAGGCTGAGTGCTGGCCTCGGCAATTTAGGCTGGAAGGACTAGCCTTGCATTCCTTCTCAGAATGCCCAGTCTTCCCACAGCGAGGACACACGCCTGCACAAACAAACAAACACATACACACACTCCCCCCTCCCCCCCCATACACCCATCAAAACAGTCTTTTATTTCATTTACATTTTTACTGTTCAAGAAGAAAAGAAAGTACACCTTCAAGATTCACCTTCAAAACAAAATGGTCACGCACAAGGTCTGTTTGTTTGAGTAAACAGAAGCACATGAACACAATTACAGATATTTAGTGTAGGGGGGAAAAAAACAAGGACAGACAGAGACAATAGAAGGAAAGAAAAGAAGTTGGACCAATTAGTGGCACCCTTTAAAATATCTGTCACACAAGGTCCCCACTCACAAAAGTTCTTAGATACTGAATGTCCATCTCCATCAGCTTCCATTTAGCTTGATCATCAGGGCGTGAGAGGGCTTCTGCATCTTTTTCTTTGGTCTTGATATTTTTTCTAATCTTCTCAATGCACTCCTGAATAGCCTTTTTCCGCTCAAGAAATTTCTGAGAGACCTGAATAGAGACAGAAACATATTCATTGATGTAGTAACAGAAGAACCGTACAGCCCTTCCATTTCTAACCGCTTGATGTAAAGCAGAACAAGATCTAGGGGATCACGGTGGGGTCCCAGCTATGTCTCCCACAGGAACTGGAAGCAACAGACCGGGAATGCCGTCTTGCTGTTGGCCATGCACAAAGATGTGAGTGAGTGTGTGTGTGTGTGTGTGAGTGTGCGCGTGTGTGAGTGTGCGCGCGTGTGAGTGTGTGTGTGTGATTAGGGGGGGGGGATGGGGGGGGGTGTGCGTGAGTGTGTGTGTGTGTGAGTGTGTCTAGGGGGGGGGGGGGGTGCGTGAGTGTGTGTGTGTGTGTGCGAAGGGGGAGGGGTGGGCTGTGTGTGTTTGTGTGTGTGTGCGTGTGTGTGTGTGTGTGTGTGTGTGTGTGTGTGAATGTGTAGGGGGGAGGGGAGGGTTGCGTATGAGTTTGTGTGTGTGTGTGTCTAGGGGGGAGGTGTGAGTGTGTGTGCGAGTCTAGGGCGTGTATGTGTGAGTGTGTGTGTGCGTTTGCTTGCCTGTTATACCTTACTTTTCCCGAAAAAAAAAGAGACGTGATAAAGTAAAGATACAATACATGAACCACGGCACACTTGAAAAACACAGAATCTAGTGGTTGGGGGGGGGGGCGTTGAGTAAAGGGAAACACTGACACAAAATTGATCATTTAGCGCTGGTAAAAAAGTAAGAAAGAAACACCAGGAGGAAAAAAAAAAGGGTACCTACAAGTGGCATCCTCTAACTTCCCACAATTTTAGTATTTCAAAAGATCTAAGGGAACAAGATGAACATTTTCCACCGAAAGCAAATGAGACGTCATAATATCTATTTATACACAGAAAAGAAGGGAAGATAAGACAACAGATTTTTAGTAGGAAAATAGTCGCAAACCACAACAGAGTTCCTGCCAACTACTAATATTAACAATGGAGAAGTTGGATCCCTACTTGGTCACCAAGCTGACATCGTAGTTTTCTGCACGAAAAATTTCAAAATTCTACGCAGAATTTTACCCCCAAAAAGACCAAATTCTGCAAAAATTCAGCAAAGGATTGCGACCACGTCTAAACTTCTTTTTCCATATACTGCTTCAAAAATATAAGTTAGTACCAATTAATCATAAGCTGAGAAGTAGCACAACAGACACAGTAAATTAAAAAAAACAACCCAGCAATCAGCAGCATACAATCTGTATTTTTGTTTAGAAACACAAGCCCATAACATAAAATACTAGCAAAAAGTGTGGCCTAAACAAATGAAATACCATTGTATACCGGTACATGCAATTTCAAAATCAGGAGAGCTGGCAGTTTGAGCTATGTCATTGAATAACTGATTGTCAGGAGGCGTTGAAGACAAAAAAGACAAAAGGTTATTTGAGAAAAAAGAAGTCCTAGGAAGATGGGCAGAATATGTAGGAGAAGTATTTGAAATTAAAAGACCACCCCTACCACAACTAAGCAACAAAAAACGGTTCCAACATTCTAAAGTCAGAGGTAGAGCTCGAAATTAGAATTAGAAACACACTAGAAAGAAAAGCCCTCTGTGAAGATGGCATAAACACAGAAATGCCCATCCACCGTCGATTTAAGGGTGTGGTCAAGTACCACATTACATACGTACTAACAGAACAGTTTTCCGCAAGACACATCGCGACCCCAGTGCTTTCTTGTTGTATCTCCATTTTTAATAACAGTGAAAACAGTTCATCACAAAGAGTGAGTTTAAGAAGATATCACAACTTTCACAGTTTTAAAAAAATGAAGATGCGACAAGAAAGCACCGAGGTCGCGACATGTATGCTTTTGGTAAACTGAAGCTGACGTTCAGCGGCATTCGTTTTCGACGCATTCTTTCCTTTAAAAAATGTATCCATTTTTGCTGAAAAGACAAATCCCGTCTTACCTGTACTCCTATGTTAATAGTGCATGTACAATAGAATCTAGAGGGCAGTGCTACTGACTAAAGGGTTTTTAGGCCATTCCCAAAGGGGGGATATTAACATGTTTTTATGCACAGTAGAATGGTAAATGGGCTGAATTATCCCATGTCATGCTCATACTGCGCCGGAATAACATAGGGAATAGCGGGAAGCTGCTGCTTTTTTTCCCCTCATCCTTACTATCGTCATTTTTTCCTCTACTTTTTTTGTATGTTTGTCACACTCTTGTGACCTGCTATTTCTGGGGAGTTTTGATAGTCGAAGCAGACTTTGTACTGTTGAGGCTAGAGAGGTGAGCAGAGTAAGCCTAATTCCCCGTTTAGACCTCTCTGTTGAAATCCACCCCTTGGCGCTCATATGACCTATGCAGTTGCGAGCGCTGTAAAACCTTACTAAAACAAACAAGAATCTAGATCTACATCTCTTGATCTATTTTGTTTCCAAAAAATAACCGCTCTAATTTCCGGCTTCCGGTGAGAGGGAGATCACTCTAACATTTTCAGCTCCCTTCAGTTTGATTTTTTAGAATCGCAATTCTACATCTGAAAGCATAATAATGCTGCAAAATTTTTCAAAATTCTGCAAAAAATCAAAATTACGCAGCCGAGCTGGGGGTGAAATTCCGTGCCGCGGTTGCAGCGCCCGCAGAAAACTACAATGTCAGACCAAGTCAAGAGAAAATATTCAAAGAAGCACACTAAAAAATAAGGCAGACCCAACTTGGGTTTGAGAGGCAGGCTACTTTCATTAACTACAGAACCACTAAAAGTTTAAATGACGAGGTCCTAGACTGGCAGAAGAGCATAAATTATAATCAAAAAACAAACAAACATGTATACATACTTTTTTTTCAAAAATCAAAGGGAAAGAAAACCAAAAACAAAATAAAAAGAAACACATGAAAAAAAAAAAATCAACACTTGCATGCAATTATGTATTCACTTGCTTATGACAACTCTCTTTCTCTCTTTCCCTTTGATGTGCAAGTGTGTGTGCCTGTGTGTGAGTGTGCCTGTGACTTTTGTTTCAATCCATCAAAATAAATAATAAAGCCTTTGATTTAAAGCGGCAGTCAGTATACTTGGTTATTTTTCTTATTTTATTAGTAGAGCTAATAAATTTTCAGCAATACATTTCAGGCAGAGTGTGGAAGAAGAAAACAAACAGCTCAGAAAACAAAACCAGGGTATTCAGAAACACTCAAAAAATGAAAACAAGCTGCTTCACTAACCACGCTACACGCATGAAAATACTTTACTCACTGAAAAATACAATTCTGATCCACTTTGGTCAAGCGCACTTTCTGCATCTATTTTCAGCTGGGTCATAGTGTTGTTCCGCTCCTCCAACAGAGCACTCTGTAGTGAGAAACAAACATAAATTTGTCACAACTTATCATCCAATTCATCTATCAAACTGAACTTTTCATCTCTTTTTTGCTCAGTCCAGACCAATTTTGACATGAAAACTGTAATTAATATTTTTATCTTCAACATATATAATTCCCATACCGTTGAGTAATAAAGAAAGGGAAGTCAAGTCGTTTGTAGGATGGGGTTTTGCCCAGAAACAGATGACATTGACAAATAATCACAAGCAAATAAAGTACCAAAATTCATATTCATGTGCCAATGAAACAGTGTTTTCTGTGAGAAGATGTTTGCTGAAAGCTATTTAATTTTGAAGAGGATACATACACCACAACTCTCCTTGTCCAAGACAAAAACTTTCTTTTACATATCAAATTTAAGAGTATTACTCCCTCAACTTACATCATTTAAGAGGCAGGCTTCCATTTTGCCTGCCAGGGCCAACCAGAGGCCCAGAAGGATATAATGTCTAAGCAGAAAGATAGAGTTACCCTCAAAAACTTCTCCCCACAAGAGAATTAAACTCAGATCTTCCGCATGCGACACCAAAGTGCCCAACTGCTAGACAACAGATGAAAGTGTGACAAAAACCTGGAAGTTGCAGTCCTTATCATCACAAAAATACACTGGAATCTGCTTCACACAACTAAACATGGTTAATTTTAAAACAGCGGTAAAATTAAAGAAAAGAAAATCCTCCCTTCATTTCTTTGATACTTGAGCAACTTCTCTCTAAACAAAGTCTTGGATTTAATCCCCCATGAGTTGCTTATGGATAGCCTGCAGTGTCAGGGGAAATTAGAGAAATTAAAAGACTTCACCAAATCATGTTGAAAAATGCTTATACAGGCAAACCAAGCTAGTAAAGATCCATAAACCTGTACATTTCCCGAAAGTTGAATGTAAATAAGAAGAAGAGCTCATTGGCGATAAAAAAAAATGGGATAAACAAACCAAAACAGTAACTCAAACTACAGCCGCTTAATTTGGCTGAGGCCCCCTACAGAACAAAACTTTCTGCTGATTTAATCGGCTTTCGACAGTAGGAGGGTTAAGAGGGAAGAACAACATAAAATCATAAAGATATCATAACCTCAGTGAGAAGACAAAATCAAATTTGAACAATTCAATTATCTGTAATGATGTTACAGCTGCTGGGTTGATGAAGACAGAACAATACAAAACTTTTACCAAAAAATCTTTACAGTTCTCATGAGAGAAGGACACTGGAGCTTCTAGTTGCTGCCCCGGCATGGTTTCCTTCTGCAGGGGAAAGAGATGGACATTATCCACATGACCATTATTGTCATCAATTCAACATAACATGGCACAATAAATTTATAAAAAGTTTTACACACATAGATGGCACAGTTAAAGCAAGCCAATAATGAATAATAGGGGTATAACTTGAAATTGCTGATTTAGTGGCAAATTATGAAATTTTAGTTGTTTTTACTTGCGCGGGGGGGGGGGGGGGGGGGGGGGGGGCTACACCCCCAAAGTCAAAATTATGGAATTTGAGTTGTAGGCATTTTTAGCTTCCTCAGCATCTCCTTCAACTATTTCATAGCATAAGAACCCCGAAAAACTGTATTTTTTCCCACACCGGGCATGTTTGTCACTGCTATTCCCTCATAAAGTCAGTATTTTATTTTTCTTTATCGGCCATTTTCTCAAAACACGACTTTTCTCTATACTTTTTTGAATAACTCCACCATTTTTCATCCAATCTTCATGAAATTTTCACAGAATGAAGAAAAGATGTAATACTAAAAATTTATCTGTTGAATTTTTTATATAAAGGAATAGATTTTTGTTGGTGGTGTCTGGAGTGTGGATTTTCACGGATTTTTTGCAAACTTGAATGCTAGCTCAGGAAAAAATTCATAAAAAACTTTATAATTTGTTTAGGAAAAAAACAACAGACAGACTTTTAGACCTAATGTTTGTGAACACGCATGCAAAAAATCAACCAATTTCCAAGAGCGATAAGTGCGGTACTCATTACGTAAGACATGTCAACAAAATCCAATATGGCCGCCGTATCCATGGAAACAAAGCTTTTTTCTCAAATTTGATTGCGGATTTTAAGACTCCTTACTATGCTTGTTATATGTGTGAAATTTGGTAAAATTCGGTAAGGTAATAAGCGAGATAGCCTTCAGGTGTAGCCCCCCTCCCCCCTTAAAAACAAATGTTTTGCTCCCTTTGTTGTATCTTCAACAAAAAAATTTAATTTAATTTTAAAAATAAAGAGAAAATTTAGAAAACTCTTTAAATTCATGTCATAAATTGCCTTTGAAAACAAGAAAACAGTACAACATTTGGCTAGCACCTGCGTTTGTCGCTGCTTTGGCATTTTTTGTCCGCGAATCGCACGAGCGATTTTTGCATTTTTCCAACAAAAACCACCGCCAGGAAGAAAAAATTATTTTAAAACAACAACAACAAAAACTGGGAATAATATTCGTGAAAAAAAGAAACCAAACCTCTTTAAATTAAGAAATAAAGTTTATTTTCAATTTCGCTTCACGTCGTCTCTTTGTCACTTGTTAACACTACGTTGATTCGTAATTTTCAAGTGAAGAATATAAGTAGGCTACATTACATACTATTTATATTGCTGTTTCTCTTTCATGTTTCCCTCTTTGCTGTTATTATGTTGTTGGTGTATTAACGTTTTATCTGCTTGAGATTTTGAACAGCTTTTGTTGGGGTTTTTCCCCATGATAAAATTTTGACAAAGGGTGTTACACAAAAAGCTATATTTAGATTAAATACGGTGGAGCATATTTGTAGCATACACCAAAATGTCCGGAAATGAATGAACTTTTATAAAACGTGCATTTTGTTGGGAAATTTATATATCTTTTTATGCTACGGAATCATAAACACACCCACAATTTTTTCTTCTCACAAAAGTTGGGAAAACATAAAATCATGACTTCTCATCAGAAAGCTTTGCATTCGCATTTTATCGCATCCTTGAATGCAATCACGCAGTGTGCGGCTCCCAGCAGATAAAGAGTTAATTTTTTTTCTCTCATTTTTGTTCGGCTGATGTGTTGTTTTTTCATTTTTTTGTGTTTAAATACGCTTACTTTTTAAAAAAATGTGTTATAGCCATGTTACTGCACGTCTCCACCAAAAACGAATACGAACTCTAGTAGGCCTCTTGTGTGTGATTCCATGATCTACATGTGTAGTTGTATTATTAGTGTTATTCATCAGTTCATGCTCTATCATCATCATCACTCTGCGCCCCTCGGGGACTCATGCATGCAGGTCTAGATTCATTTGTCAGTGCGATCACTCATCATTTCATTCCGTTCTACATCACCGTCTTGTGTTTTCCATTTCATTTCAGTTGATGTCGTCATCACTTGTAACCCCGTTGAATCATTAAAAGTTCATTGATGTTATCCGACAAGTGATGAGTCATTCTTTAACATGTTAAATCCTGTACTTTTTCTTGAATTATACGCGTTTAGAGTTAAAACGGCCAGTCTATGGATGGGTTGACGGACGCCCTTATTTGTTAATTTTTGTTGTTGTTTATTTGCTGTTCTAATTTTTATTTCATTCTGTTGTGAAACCTTTATTTTTCAAGTTTTTACACTCTGTGTGTGAGTGGTTGACGGGTGCTCTGGTGTGGTTCGCTTCTTCTTTCCTATGAAACATCTATCGTCCTTATCTTCCCTTCTTCTTTTTTTTTATGTTTGTCACTCTCTTGTAACATCTCTAATCTTCTGACGCTAATATGACCTTATGCAGTTGCGAGCGCGTAAAACCTCTACTAAAACTAAACTAAAGACTCTGTGTGGCTGCAAATGATATTCTGGATGCTTAAAAACAGAGCACAAGAAAATCTGGTGTTTTAGAAGAAGTTATCTCTATCAACATATTGCAATATACGTCGTCACAGAGAGTTGAAAGCTTGAAAATTAATGGCAAATTTTTTGACAACTTTTGCCATTTTTGTGGCAAATTTTGGGACAAAAAAATGGCAACAAACGCAGATGCTAGATTTGGTCAATTTCTGCTAGATTTGGTCAATTTCGATTAATAAAATAGAATAGAGAGACCAATGGAATCGCCGCAGCACCTGTGCAATCCAGTGCTTCTACATATATCGTATAACAAGGATAGAGGTCGAACACAGAATACTCAAAATTATGCAGCTGTCAAACTGTGCCTGAGGTCCCTTTTTTTTTCTTCTTCATCTTAATAAGATCCCTTGAACCACCGAGGCAATTCACGCCATCCATGTTTGTATACCTCTACCCGTGACAGAATTGATCTACCGTTTTCATGAGCATATTTGCCAGCTTAATCAATTTCAAGTAAAAAATAAATTGAATTTAAGTATAGTTGGCGGTGACACTAAGTCCATCAACTTTGAATCAAGCTGAACAAAGACAAGTTTGAAATTGTACAAAACTAAGTTCAATTTATTAAAACTTAATGTATTCTGAATGTCTCTAAAGGAAAGTGTGCCTTTGGATTTGGCCTAACCTAATCAGTTTTACATTCATTTCATGCACTGAATGACTCTAACAAAAAACCCCCCCCTCCAAAAAAACCCACATATATGGCTCAAGTCCAAGACCAAATGGTGTCTGTCAAATCCTACATGATAGCTCTTAGTCATAAATTTACTTTTATGTTTTAACATTATTGTCTATCTTTGTTTTTGTCAATTTGATCGACCACACCGATAGACAGTATTCAGAAAGAGACAGAGAGAGAGAGAGAGAAGGAGTAGATCTTGCGAGAACTTCCGGGCAAAACAAAATGGCGACCCGCGTAGTTCCGCTCAATTCGAAAAGTGAAATAGCTATAGCATCTTTGTAGACGACCAATTAAGCTTACTTTTGTGCTATAACGTCATTTTTTCTTGGTTTAATTGTCTATTTGACCATCCACACCGATAGACAGTATTCCGAAATTAGGAAAAACAGATCTTATTTAACACCAGGGGAGAATAGCCAACGTTGGCAAGTCTCACCTAGGGCGAGAGGTCGATCGTATTTTTATTCTCACCCGGGGTGAGGATAGCCACTTTCTTTTCGAATCACGATCGGATTAAGCAGTGGGCATCCCCCTTGCGAGATCAAACAAGATAGCTGTTACTATAAGTATCGGCCAATGGCGTTTAGTTGTCATTCTCTAGAAAGACTCTAGGCCTATCCGATTGTAACTTTTTAATCTCTAGATTCTAGATCTAGAATATCTAAATTTGGCTACAAGCTAGATTCTATGGACGGCACTCCTTGGATATATGGTGGTCCCGACTTTCGTGTAGGCCTACTGGATACCAATACTGATTTAGTCGGTATCAATGTTTTATGTTTTATCAGTAGCCTACTAGATTATCTCACTCATTGCCATGCCCGAACCCTGTCAGGGGATCCACGTAGACCGCTGCCTGCCAAAACCCAAAACCCGTCGGGTGCGTTTTTACTACTATTTTTCAAACATTCCCCGACGCATTTCGGGCTGGGCAGTCGGAAGCAGGCGACATAAGCCAGTTTAGTTTCGATTCTGCATTGTTGAAGTAGTTTCCCTCGAATAAGCTACTTAAAAATTGGACTCTTTCGAATTCACCCGAAATGAACTAAAAACTACTAACGCTCAGTTATGATGGCGACGGCCTCTCAACGAGGTCGGAACATTTGAATTGACGGACCCATTCGTCAATAAAGGGTCAGATTTAGATCTTTTGCAGATGATAGTGATGATGAACCATCATACAGAGTTGATAATGAGTATATAGCGCCCACGATTTGAAGTTTTGCAATTAGGTTTGAAATCTCTTCATATCGGCATGCGCATAAAAAAATTATCGTTTAGAACCTAATCGTCGGTGGGGTCAAAACTAGATTCTAGATTTTCTCCGGGTTATTTCCCTGTCACAAAAGTCGGGAACACCATTATATCCAAGGAGTGCAGACTATGGACTCAAGTTCAAGAATGTATACAGACCCCGTAACCGGGAACAAAGTCATGAAGTATACAGACCTGGTAGGGGAAATCTTTTGTGATTTCGGAGAGAGAGAGAGAGAGAGAGAGAGAGAGAGAGAGAGAGAGAGAGAGAGAGAGAGAGAGAGAGAGAGAGAGAGAGAGAGAGAGAGACTACTCTGAGAGAAAGATCTAGATGATCTAGATCTAGAGTCTAGATCTAGATTATAATAATTATATATAGATCTAGATGTAATGTAGATGTAGAATCTAGATCTAGATCTAGATCTAGATCTAGATCT